ATAGCAGTGATGGTTGGACATCCATTATAAAGCTTTTTATGTATTTATCTAATTCCCACGTAGGGTAAGTGTGTGAATAGAAAATAGTGCAAAGTGTTTTGAGCAGTTTATCAGACTCTATCAGGGACATCAAGTATAACATTTGTGATTTTAGTATTCATTTGATTGGCCAAAACATTTGACAACAACTGTAGAACATTTTAATTAAAAAAAAGAACATTTGAACACCAACTAATTGAACACAGCCTTGTACTCTATTTTAGATTTAGATTTACAAGTACAAAGCAACGAAATGTAGCTGTGGGCAGTTGACACAGGAAATGCAGGTTTTCATCGGGGGTTGATTTACTGTTGACTGAGCCCCCTTTCCACTGGTCAGAAACCTCCACTAACATCTGGCTTTTGTCTGCATGAGAATGGATTGCTATCAGCATTCCCTCCCAAGTCAAATGACTCTGCAATAGACACAGTTTTTTTAACCAGCTTTGGTTGCAATCGGCACTGATAAACATGACACCTGAGTGAACACTCGTCTAGACGCTTACGCTGCACTTTGCCTGCGCTACCTTATAACGCGCATTGGACTTCTGGATGTTGGCGTGTCATTAGCTATAGTTGTTTGTCTCCTTTTTGTTTTTTACATCGGAGGGAGAAACAAAGAAAAACTCATCTAAAAATCTGCGTGAACCATCTTATTTAAAAGATGTATTATTTACATTAAATTATATTGCCTGTCACTGCCTGGTCCATGGGTAAAAACATCCCCTGACCCTAACCTGTATTACCCTCTTCTTCAAATAGTCTAGTATCTAACTACATACGTGCCCTCATATTTTAATTTTCACAAATTTTCGTAAAGAGCTCCTCCTTCCTGGACATGTTGTATATCAACAAACACTATTGTCACTCTCAGATAATTTATCACGCCTTTCTTTATCTCAGAATGCTGGGAGAGCAAAGAGTCTATGGTGTCCCTCCCTATGTAAAACCCACTTTCACACAGGCAGCCATGGCTCAGCGGTAGGGCAGGTCATCCAATAACCAGACGGTTGGCAGCTCGATCCCCGCTCCCGCTGTTCGTCGCCATGACCGAGGTGCCCTTGAGCAAGGCACCGCCCCCCTCCCCCCAACATCTGCTCCCCGGGCGCTGACAATGGCAGCCCACCGCTCCAGTATATGTGTGTAGATGGTGTTTCTATGCATGTGCGTGTTTCAACAGGTGCTGACTGGATGGGTTAAATGCGGAGAACAATTTCATGTATGCATGTAAAAAGTGTAGAACATGACAATAAAAGTAAATCTTCTTCTTTATAAACCAATCTGTTTTCTGTTATTCCACACAGCAGTGATCTCAGTGCAAAGGTCTTGCAGGCTTGTGTTGCATCTTTCCCCTAGTTTTAATATTGGGACCACCACCACTGAGATCCACCATTGGACATGTATTTTATTCTAGGGGGTTTCTTTATAGGGATGCATTTGTATGCATCACACAATATCACTGCAAATAAACTATTCCCTTCTCCCTTTGCCTTTTGTTCTCTCCCCATGGGTGTCATCACAGTTGTCAGATAATTGCTCCCAGTTTGCCTTGATTACATTCAAAGAATCTGGGTCTTTTAAGTAAGTAATCCCCAAGTCTCAAAAATATAAGAAAGTAATCACTGTCCAAAATTTCCATTCTCACAGCCGCTAATCTATTTATTCTAAAGCTGAACGGCTCCTTTTCCAATAAAAAACCTTAGTTGTTCTCATTCACACATACTAACTCATATCTGTCCATACAATCTTCCTCAAGTCACTTCCCCAAAGGACTGGAGTCCCTGTGTTATTCTATAACCTCCTCTAAATCTTAATGTAATGAGCAAACAGGCATTATATTATAGCAGTTGTTGATGTTCCTTTATCTGTTATATTATATCCGCGTTTGTAACCTCTAGATTAGATTACTGCAACTCTCTATTAGCAGGATGCTCCATGAAGACTGTTAAAAGTCTCCAGTTGGTCCAAAATGCTGCAGCACGAGTGCTGACAGGAACTAGAAGGAGAGATCATATCACTCCTGTCTTAGCTTCCTTACATTGGCTCCCGGTAAAATWTAGAATAGAATTTAAGATCCTGCTCCTCACTTTTAAAGCCCTCAACAATCACGCCCCCTCATATATCAAAGAGCWGATAACACCTTATTATCCAAGTAGATCACTTCGTTCCCAAAACACAGGCTCTCTAGTGGTTCCAAGAGTCTGTAAGAGTAGAGCAGGAGGTAGAACGTTTAGCTATCAGGCTCCTCTCCTGTGGAACCAGCTCCCACTCTGGGTTCGGGAGGCAGACACTGTCYCAGCATTTAAAGTAAAACTAAAAACCTTCCTCTTTGACAAAGCCTATAGTWAGGGCTGGATCAGGTGAGTCCTGAACCATCCCTTAGTTGTGCTGCTATAGGTTTAGACTGCTGGGGGAACKCCCATYATGCACTGAGCACTTCTTCACTTCCCTCTGTCTCTCAGTCTCTCTGCCCCCCCACACCTCTTTATTTATTTATTTATTAGTTTTAACATGTCATCATGTCAAAGTGTCACTTTGTCCTCCCATAGTCCCTCTGGCTCTTCTCTCTATCTCGTTTCAGATAACTCCGGCACCGGGACTACAGGACAACAACGACCACCATCACCATTGTCTTCATTTATTACAAGAACTCAGCAATTCATTAATATATCTAGTCATGTTGTAGATCTATACATTGTTATTGTTATGGTTAGCCTTGATTTTGATGGTGCCAAATTGTTACCGGTCTCTCTCTCTCCACCTCATCTCTCTCTTCTCTCCCCCGCTCTCCACCCATCTCTCCTTTCCTCCCCCCTTACTTTTCTTTCCTCACCCCAACCGGTCGAGGCAGATGACCGCCCACATTGAGCCTGGTTCTGCCAGAGGTTTCTCCCTGTTAATGAGGGAGTTTTTCCTCTCCACAGTCGCCTGTGCTTGCTCATTGTGGGAACTGTTGGGTTTCTCTATGTTAATATTGTTTTAAGGTCTTGACCTTTAAATGTAAAGTGCCTTGAGACAATGTAAATTATGAATTGGCGCTATATAAATAAAATTGAATTGAATTGAATATTATCACTATACATAGCTGAGACTTGATTTTCATTGTCTGCTGCTGCACAACCTCTCCTCACTTTGACTCTGTTTAATTATTTAATTCCTTCATGTTGCTTGATCCAAGTTTCCTGAAGACATGTTACAGGCTTATCTTTGAATTCATCCACAAATCTTTTAAATTCCTGCCCATGCATCCAAAAGCTCATGCTCAATTACAACATATTAAAAATCAGCTGCCTCCTCATGTTGACATCATTATTATTCTGAATAGATAATCGATAGTCAGAATATTGCACACACTTACTTACTCTCATGTGCTTCTGCCTCATAAGTATGTGTGACTCCTCTGGACACACTTACATCCCTTCAAGAAACCATTCCACACCATCTACCTCAATTTTAACGATGTAACAGTTAATGTTAAACTTTATGAGCCCTGACTATAGTAGAATTTAAATTCTTAAACATTTTTCATTCTTAAACATGTTAAAGCATGTAAATATGTTTTCTTTATTTCCAGTTTGATTAAAATTATCCACCAGTTACAAGTCTCATTACAAAGGCTCATTTTTAGTTTTTTCTTTGTCTGTTCCATATCAATGAGTTGGTGCTTCCCTGGGTCCATAAATGAGCAGAATGTCTCCACTATGGGCTCTTTGATGGCTCTGAAAACAGGTATGTCAGTCCACATGGCACACACACATAATACTAAATCACTGTTGGTTTATGAGTTGATTTCATTCTTTGCACAATAGCATTGTCCCAATGAACAAGCCAGCTAAGCACTCACATTAAGCACTGCTTCATGCAATAAGTGGTCCTGATCCAATTAGTGATACATGGCTGCTCATTCAATCAATGCATCATTATTCAACTATTACTACATCTCACCACTGTGAGAGCAGAACCTGTGCTGAGGTTTCATTAACCACTGATCAAATGTGTATCCCTGAGGTGGTACATAACATGTGAACTATCTCTGTGTCATTACGGTGAAGTGATGCCTATGTTTGTGTGAGGGTGCAGCCTCACATAGTCTCACATGAGTGTTTTTCAGAATGAAACATGAATATGTAACACACTGCCTGCATGGAGCTGCGATCGTGCAGTGAGGCAGAGCAGAAAAAAATCTCTTCTGTGGAAGAATGATTAGATGAAAACAAGCAACGATTGTATATGAGAACATTTTATTAGATCATATACTGAGACATACACTGCAGGGATCAGAGGACGTCACATGAGCAGGTGGTCCTTCATATGTGGCCCAGGACACATTTGTGTTCCCACAGTGAAAATAATTTTGTCACATGCATCCAAGACCACCTCTGAATGTTGTTTTTGCAATCCAATCTCAGTTTTCACACAATCATTTATTCAGATAAAAAACGTTCACAGACATGAAACCTCAAAAAATAGAATAAATACAAATAAATACATAAATTAAGACAACACATCTGCAGAAGGGATTTCAAGTTCCTCTAAAGAAAAAAGCACACCTTCACAATACACACTTTTAAAAATCCTAATTTTTACATTACATTTTATTATAGTTCAGTGACATATTCTCAAAAAGATGTCAATAAAGTGAAAATGAGTCTCCCCAATGAACAAAAAAGACAGTCATCCGATACAGTCCAGTTTGACTCTGACACAAAGAGAGGGGGGTAGAGAGGGAGGAAGAGAGAGAGAGAGAGAGATGTATAGATGGAGAGAGAGATGTATACAGGGATAGAGAGATGTATACAGGGATAGAGAGAAGGGGGTAGAGAGAGGAGGGTAGAGAGACAGAGTTAGAGAAAGAGTGATGTGGGAGTGAGAGAGAGGTATAGATGAAGATTGAGAGAGGGGGTTGGAGATAGAGAGAGTGAGATTGAGGTTGAGAAAGTGAGATGTAGAGAGAGGAGGGTAGAGAGAAAGTGAGGTGCAGTGAGAACAGAGTTAGAGACAAAGAGGAAGAGAGAGGTAGAGCGAGGTGTCCGCGCAGCTCCTCCTGGCTCAGATGATGAGGAGGAGAACTTGCAGTATGTGTGTGTGCAGTCATGGGAGCGGACGCTGATGTGCGCGCCACCGCGCGTAATGCGCTCCGTGCGTCGGACATGGGCTCGAAGTGTGAAAGTTACTACAGCAAGGAGAGGGTGTTCGTGGAGGGATTCACGTGTCCGAGAGCGGACAATGACTCCACGGCTCTCTACTGCTGCGGCTTCAGTGACTTGAAGTACTGTTGTGACGACCCCAACAGCTTCTTCCCATACGAGTATGGATACATGTGGTGGTTGAGGTAAGGAGCGGGGAAAGTAGCTGAACGTGACATTTACATTGTGCAGAATAATACAACTAAATGTTTCAAAGCGTACATACTGTGACGCTTATCTTGATATCAGTGGTATTTTTGCAGCTTGTGCCTGTTTGGCTCCAATCTGGTTAACTGGTTGCTGAGAAACCAATTTCTCAGTCAGAAATATCAGTGGCCCTATTTAACATGCACGCTCATGGATTAGTATTAGGGCAGTTCACAGTGGAATGTGATTCTGATTACTTGAATTAATGAATCTGTATCAGGCAGATTCCATATTGTCTCTAAAAAGAATCATTACATCACTGCATGGAACTCATGGGAATTTCATGTGCTGTGATATGAGCTCAAACATTGCTGATGCTGATGTTAAAATTCATTCAACTGGTCGCAGAAACAGTGTGTTTCAAAGACATTGACACACTCAGTTTACACTAACCTTTCCCCGATTGTCTTTCTTAAAATACACTAATCTAAATTACATGCTGCCTTTATTATCTCTGTGACTTTATTTGTGCATGTGTGACATATCTGTCTCTGGGAATTCTGCTGACAGCCCAGATATTCACAACTGTTAACTATATATATATATATATATATAGTTAACAGTGTGCAAAAGCATAATGTTTCATAAAATAACATTTTGACGCATTTCTGGTCAGGAAAAAAGTTCAACATTCAATAAGCTTTTAATAGGTTTTAATTTAACACAATACAATTTCATTTTTCTCATTTATTTAACGGAATAAACAGAGCTGTTATTCTAAATGTATCTCTGAATCCATCCATCCACCAATCCACCCATCGATCCACCTACAACTCCCAGTGTCTGGTCATTATGTATCATTGTGTGTCATTGGGTGTTTTATTTTACTGGACTTGGCTTTTGAGTCCTTTTTCAGCTTTACAACTCTCAACTGTCCACCTTCATATGATGAAGTATAAATGCAGAGCACATCACTCATGCAGTCGTGCATTGTCTCTTTTTTTATCTGTACTGACAGTAAACAAACAATTATAGCAAAGGTGCTTATCAAAAGTGTGTGTGTGTGTGTGTGTGTGTGAGAGGGGGGGGGGGGCAATTTATTTATTGCACAAAAAATGTGTTCAAGGGTAATGCTGTGTCCAGAGAAGGGGCAGAGTGTTTCCAGAGCAGGAATGGAATGCAGCCGGCCGGAATGTTTCTCCAGCGAGGAATCGAGAGGACACTGTGGCTGAGGGCTGAATTCAAATGGCTGAATATGACAGAAGAAGGTGAGCAGCACGTGATGCTGAAGCAATTGAAACAGGATAAAGGCCCCAGCAGGCAGGCAAAACATACACACTTTTCTAAGAGCAATCTAGAAAGCTAGAAATACATCAAGATAATTTGGTGCTCTGGAAGGAAAGTATTGATCAAACCTGACTTATATACAGTGAGCAAGTGGTTTAGAGGAGGATAAGGTGCATGGAGTAGCTGGGAGGAGCAGGAACCAGGAGTTACACCTAGTGAGCAATTTGTAACAATTTATTTCGTCTTTGACATTATTTTTAATGCTTACAACTGGTTAATACATGACAGTGTCACCTCACAGCAAGAAGGTCCCCGGTTCAAGTGTGGTCAGGGTCTTTTTGTGTGGACTTTGAATGTTTCCTCCGGGTACTCAGGTTTCCTCCTATAAGGTCAAAAGAAATGCAGATTGGGGACTCTTAATTGTCTAATGGTGTGAATGTGAGAGTGATTGGTTGTTTGTATCTGTATGTTGGCCCTGTGATACTCTGGCAAGATGTCCAGTGCTCCCCTGTAACCCTCAAAGAATAAGTGGTACAGATAATGAATGGATGGTTAATTCCTTGATGTAAAAGTCTCTGACGGATTTTAAGGGTGTTCTCATGCATTTTTTCTTATGCTATAAATAATATTTTTTCATAAAGATCCATTTATCATTCCCTGGAAAATTGGGAAAAATGTCTGAAAAAAACCTGTATCACATAATTTTGGACAAAGTTGTAAAAAATTCCTGGATCCGCCCCAAATTTGAATGGGTTCTTTCTCGGCTCGTGTCCCATTCTTCTATCAATTTTAATCGGAATCTGTTGAGTGACGTGTGTGTAATCCTGCTGTCAAACAAACACAGAGACAGGTTAAAACTTGTGACAGGTGAAACCATTTTTGGCAGAGCTTAAAATAAAACAAAAAAGTATTTTTCTCCTTCTTCTACATCACAACTTCCTTCCTCTACCTCAGCAACGTACAGTGCTGAGAGACATACATCATATACACAAACATCAACACTGCATTCAACACAAAACTGAACACTAGAGCAATTGAATCAGGCAGTTTTGGATTAGAGAATGTAAATGTTTCCTGTGTCCACTGTAAGTAAATAAAATGAAATTTCCCTTTAAAAACCAAGGAAACACATGGAGTGTAATCATCATGAGCTGTATTTCCTTTTTCTTCTTCTTTGTTCAGTTTTTTGGTGGGTGTCAATTGACGTTTAGGTGCATTACTGCCTTCACTGTGATGAGTATTTTCTTTGTATCGAACAGTATTTTCAGAGAATGTTAACGAAATGACACCTCTTTGTTCTGTGTCTCACAGTCTGGGAGCTCTGGTGGGTCTCTCTGTAGCAGCGTTGGTTCTTCTAGCCTTCATCATCACCCTGTGTGTACTCTGCTATCTGTTCATCACCACCAAACCCAGAGGACTGGATAATGGGCTGCCCCTTCGAGCACCAGGTAATGACTGCACTCTGCCCAATATACATACAGTGCTCTGAATATACTAACTTATTTGGGAGCAGCCCTCTGATATACAGGACACTGTGTTGTATACTAACTCCACACAGAAAGAACCTGGCCAAACTGGGATCTGAATCGCTCTCTTAAGCCGTTTTCTGATATGAATTCCAAATGTGAGTGTTTGGGTGACGGGTGGTGCAGCAGGATGTAACGTTTTAATTCCACAGTGGAGATCATGTGTTTTGTTTCGAGCACATCACCGGAGTCGGCTCATATCACCAAAGGCTCTCTTGACATCCTCATCGGTGTCTTCTTCATTTTCATCCCGAGACATCGGATCATGTAGACAGTCTCTGGAGTTTTTACGTGGGGGCTGACTGAAGAAAGTCTGGAGCATCTCACTCTGATATACAGTGTCCTTCGTCCTGGCAGAGTGAGAACTTCATCTAATGATTATTAACTCACCAGTGTGTCCTGTGCTGAACCCTGCCTCAGCTGTTCAGACTAAATTAATTTAACGTGAAATTGTGGTTAAATAAGTTAAAAGCTGTGTCCCAGTTTGAAGACTGAGTCAAAGCAGCACGACTATAGGCTGACCCATTTCAAAGGTTCCGTCAAATGTGACTGACAAATTCAACCTTCAATTTCTCAGCAACAAAGTGTTCAACACACAGGAGTATTTTCCATTTTCAAACAACATTTCCTCTAAGGACTACTGCAGTGCTAATTCTAAACCTGCCTGTTTGGAATGGATTATTCTCTTGCCCTGTACGTGTTAGGGCTCCGGAGCTACTTCAGAATTATTCCTTTTTGTTAAGGAGTCCTATTCATACAGTTCTACAATATACTGTCACTTTGTATTGTTTGTGTGCTGGACGTTGTGTGCAGAGCTTTTTATAAACAGTCTATGGTGCAGAGTGAAGTTATAAAACTTTGCGTACTTCCTACCTGGTTTAGATTTTCAATGCTTTTTATACAATGAAACTGAATTCGCTTTATTACTGATGACATGTGTGGCTTATATTTAACACCACATATTTACTCTCCCACTGACTTCTAGGCACCTGTTTATTCAAATGATTATTATTATACAGACAAGTAGACTCTCAACACTAACTTTAGATAAAACTCAATATTTTTAGGTAAAGATATACAGAAGTTTTGTTATGTAATGGTCCTTATTTTACATATACAGAAAAGGGTAAGGACACATTCTGACCTTGTGAATCCACAGAAAGTTGATGAACTTCACAGTTTCTCTTTTCAGTGTCTGAAAATTCAACCATATAATAAAGAGGTCTACTGAGATGTGTTACATGTCTTCAACAGAGAGTGATGTTGTGTTCCTGACATTTAATTCTTTCATCTTTTTCACTTATACTATTGCGGTTGAGCAGTTTTAGAAAACACAGGCTACATCCTTCACCTTGAAATCCCCATTTAGACATGCTGAAAGGACCAAATGTACATTTTCAATGGAGAAATAAAAAATGACTTAGAAATGATTCTATAATTGCAGCAGGTATTTTGCCAAAAGGTCAGTTAAGTTTGTAAGAAATGGACGAGGACAACTCTTTTTATAAACTATTCATTTGGCAGTGCAAGACGAAACTTAGTCTTTTTAGCATGTTATAACATTCTAGGAGGAAAAGAGAAAAATCTGGTTCTTAAATGGCCAGACTGTGTCCATCTGTTGTTTGTCACTGAGCACAAGAGCTTTTTAAAGAGCTGGCTGTGTCTTAACCATAGACTGTAAATAAAGACAAACATGTTTCCACTTCCTCCCACTGTACTAAAAGTGAAGCCAAAATATCCAGCATATACGGGTCCTTGAGCTTTTTTGTCTCATTTGGAGCCAGAGTCTGTGCAGTAGCAATCTAGCCTATACATGGGCTCGACCAATCAGGAGTCAGTCTCTGCTGTCAATCATGACATTTCGCCTAGTTTTATAGCATCAAATTACCAATAAATTCAAATCTACAGGAAAAAATAGCACTTGAACATAAATCGGTGTGATAAAAATGTCTGTTATGTCCTTTAAGTCCTCTGCTTGCTGAACCACCTCACCTGCACACTCCGAAGACTCCTGTGTTGTGAAGCATCTGAGCTGAAAATGTCCTCCTGCATTGTTCATGTGTGAAAAGGCAAACTATGAAGAAAGTCTCTATATTGTCACCAGCCAACAGAGAGCAATCCAGATGATTTGGCTTCACTTTGGGGAGCAGTCATGCTCTTGACACAATGATACAGTATAAAAACTCCATACTGGTTTGTCAGACTCTGTTCATACAACATCCTGAGTGAATTTTCTATTTTTCAGGTTCATCATCAAGTCCACAAGGACCAGGACCGAGTCATAGCAGCGCACCTCCTGGACCTCAAGGCTTCAGGAAACACTTCCTGAGGGGCAAGCTGGACTGTGACAACCAGCCGCCAGACCCAGACCGCCTTTTCCAGCGTTGTTTCATGGCTACTGTGACATCCATCAACGTCGAGAGTCCTGCATAGACTCGTAGACTATTCGACATTTGGTTCGGCTACTTTAACTTTGATTATTCTACCATCCTCCCTCTACTGAAGGTTCAATTTAGAATGTCACATAATCTTAAAGATAAATTGACATTTGACAAAATCAAATGTAAACCTTGAGGACCAAAAAATGTAGCAGGGGAACAAGATGAGACCTTGATTGCTTTATATGTAGGCTTTTGCTGCTGAAGCAAACAACATTTTCCATTGAAATCTCTTATTATTTGGTTTCCAGTTAGATCAAAACCCCATTATGAAAGCGGTCGTGATGTGCTGGAATTGTGTCATCAAACATTTTCATTTTGGTAAATCTGCGGTAAATGGTCTACCATTTAAATTAATCTCTTAGATTGAAATTCTCTAAAGTTTATTGTTTTTATCACCTCTTACTGAAATTTATGTTTATATAAACTTGAAGAAAAACATGAAGGATTTATCAATTTAAAATAAGTTTTTAAAATAAGATCCAGAAAGAATAACCTCAGCATGTTGAACAATGAATAACCACTGATATAATATTTTTGATAAACAACAAGAACATCTGCATCTATGTTTCTGAGTTCCTCGTGTTTACCTGGATATAACCCGGTGGCCAATAACCAATAACTTTGCTTTTACACTGTTATATAAAGCTTTATTTATTATTGAGCTGAATATTACAAATTCAAAAAGGAGGAGCATTCAGGACTTTGATGTAAAATGTGAAAGTACAGGATCTTCAAGCAGCCTGGTGTATATAGACCTGGAGGCAGTGTCTGTAGGCCCTCTGGTCTAAACGTCTCAACAGCTGTCAGAAGAATCCTTATTCATTCAGTCTCCTGAGGATTGAATCCTACTGACTGTGGATTCTCTGACTTTTTCTTTTGGGCCACCATGAGGTTTAGTCTTGTCTCGAAAAGTAGTGGATGGATTAGCATTAAATATGGTACACACCCACACACACATACACAACCACACACACACACACACACACAATATTTTAAAAGTTCCCTTCACGATAAAAGATTTTTACTTTGCACAAAACTTTAGTCACGAACCAACCATTGAACATATTTCTTAGAGGTGACATTAACAAGAAAATAACTGTTGCTATATTTACTTAAATACAGGGTCAGATACATTGAAATGTAACCTGACATATTTAATTCAATTAACACACAAACAATGATGCCAAAAATAGAGCTGTGCATGTGTGAGATGTCAGTCACACCAGCTGTAATGTCAACAGACTGCCTCCACAGCCTGAACGTGACACTCTAAAAAAAAATCAAGGACATTTTAACAAGCAACATTTTATGGGAACATTTGTCTATTTTTTAAAGAATCAGCCAACATGTTTCATCTTATGTGGACATGCAAAAGTTCCTACCTTTACTGAATAATTTGCTTTATATTGTAAACTTTGTGCTGTGTAAATGAAGCTTGAGCAATGGCATAAACCCCACCAAAATAAATACTTTTATTTACTTCGATATTTTGCATTTCAGAAGTTGGCTGAATGAAGAGAAGGCACAATTGTTGATTCACAGTTTGATGCCCATGTACTGAAATTGTTTTGATTGCATCAAAGCAGAAACTGTTGAACTGTTGAGCCATGAATTCTCAGAATAGTCATGTAATGTCTGTGTTTTGTTCACTAGCTTTGTACTTTGCGTGAGATATTTGGCAGCTCAAGTGCCTCTGACCTTGCACATGTGTATTTTCCAAACTTATTAAAGGTACAACTTCAAATAGTTTTATGCTGTCTCTTGTTTTGATGCTTAACTTAACTTTGATCTTACTGCACCTTGAGCAATGGCTCCACTTCAAATTAGAATTGCTTCTTATCTTGCGTAGGCTAATGCATTTTTTATGAGTCTGAGCACCAAAGCTCCTGTTGGAGCTTCTCAGATGATTTATTCTTAGTTGCAGCACGTTTTTCATGAAGTCAAACCTGTAAACAATCCAACAAGTGAATGAAGATGAATTCCCTGGATGTCAAATCACTTTAAACCAGTCACTTCAAACAGGTACATTCATGGGGGGATGGAAATCACACACTCATACACTCAGATTCACTCAGCCACAGATTTGAACCAAAGCATCAAGAAACTCAGCTAATCAAGTTTTATTTTCACATGGGAATGTCATACTATGAAATTCTTGTTGCTCTTGCACAGAGACACAGGATTGTTATCAGTCGGAACCATCTGTTGCCCGTACTGAAGGACAACAAGCTCAGCCGACGGAAGGACTCTGCAGATTTAGACTTTGGGGTCCGGGGCAGGTTTAGGGTATAGATGGATGTTTACGAAGTCCTGGGCAAAAATGTTCTCAATAAAAAAGGGATATGTTAGAGTCATCTTAGCTGAGCTAGATCCTGATGCAACACACAAGCAGCAATGGGGACTTCACAGGAGACAGTACTTGGCCCAATCACATCTGGCACATTGATTCATATGACAAGTTAAAACCTTTTTGTCTATGTATTAATAGGTGTATTGATGGCTTTGTGGTGTCTGAAGGAATCAACTTCCTTAAAATAGAAAAACAACACATGGCATAGGTGTTGTTTTTCTATCTATAATCTATAGGCCCTGATAATCTGGCGGTCCATATGCTTTGGTTGGTTCCCTGAGTAAAGCTAAGTATGGGCATTAGGTCAAGGCTCTAACCACCGCTCTAAAATTTGGGCTGGCGCCCTCTTCTCTGTTTCTAGACAGAGAAGGTGTCCTTATCGGGGAACCAGATATGTTTCTTTAGGTTTATGACAAGACTCTCCTATAGAAACGGGGAGTTGAAGCTGTTAGCTCCGAATCTCTCTCCAGGCAGACTGCAGTGCTTGTACTGATGCTGAACATTTTGGAATAAACCTTTTATACAATCAAGACAGTGTCTTGATCTTCACATCTTCACATCATCGCTACCCAAATATACACAACAGCTTCTACCAGAAAATAATTTGGCTGAATGCTTATAAAAAAAATAGGAGGTTATTTTCTTGAAGATTTAGAATCAATGAGTACCTGTCCCAAACTTGTACTGACAGAAAACTGCCTTGTTCAAGACCTGCAGAGATATTTACGAACAAACCATGGAGACGATTTGTCAGGAGAATGAAACTACCTCAGTGGAGTTAGTACAGCAGACCAGTGTGTTGATAATTGGTGGAGCAACCTCTGCAAAGAGGGTTTGGAATATTGGATGTAGCTTCTTGGAGAACTGCATGAAAGAGGACAGTTTGAAGGAGGTGTACCCAAAAGGGCCATACGTGCATGAAGGTATGCAATAATTCAGTTATGATGATTAGGTGTTAATATAGTCACATATGTGGGGGAGTTTTACTCAGTAAATTTACTTAAGTAATGAAGGCTTGTTTAAATAGTGTTTTTTCTGCATCATCAATTATTTTACAGCCCATACCTAAAGTATCTGCCCTCAGGACTTTTTCTTCTAATTGACTATTTCAACAGTGTAATATTATTACATTTACTTAAGATAAAGATCTTAATACTTCTTCCACCACTGCTCATGTCTGTTTTTAGGAAGAGCTGAATAACATCAAAGATTTCTGGAATGCACACCAAGTCCGATCTGTTTCCAACCCAAATGTCCCCTGCGGAATCTCAAATTTGATGTACTACGACCCTAGCATTATGGGACACAGTGGTCCGTGCCATGCCACTTGATCAAGAGGAGCTGAATATGTACAAAGGGGAAAATATGTTTCACCTGTGTTCCTTGTGATGAAGATATATTTGATCTTTGCATTATACTTGTGGATGAACTGGGCCTACAGTTCCCCAGTAAAAGGCAATTTGAAGCTGCATTTTTGGTAGTTTTAGCCCACAAGCCACACCTTTGTCACTTGTGTGTCATCTGTAGCAAAACTCGTTAACATAATTATACCGTTTTTTTTTTAGTTTTTAAAGCATTCAGTGACATTAGGCCTATTTTGAAATGCATTTCAATTAAAATTGCGTAAAAAAGCCATTGCTTGCAATGGTATTCTTTTCTGTAAATTTTTAGAAAACTACCATTGTCCACATTACTTTATTGCATGAAAGACACTGTCATTTATGTAAGAATATTGTGTAGAGAGTCTAGAGGGTCAGTTTGAACATGCTTTAATAATTAACACTTTACTCTTAACATGCTGTATGGGGTTGTCTGTACAACTGGTTAACAGGATATACCTTTCACACACTGCAGTTTTTTGGTTTTTAGTTACAAAAATAATTTGAATTAAACATACACACCCCTATAACACAATTTTTTGAAAGTATTACCTTACATTAACTGAATTCCAAACCATTTACTCTAAATGGTTGACATATTTTCTTTAACAAAAACATAAATACAATTAAAACTAAACTAAACCTTTTCAATGTGTATGTGCATTTCAAATTTGTAATTTACAGTACAAAAACAAGCCCTAAATCTGAACCTTTGTTCTCTATATTTTTAAATTCCTGAATAAATTACAATTTTTTGCTTTATATAGCCTACAAAGCAATTTTGGCAAAGGCAGGTTGTCACAGGAACTAACCATCATAGGCATCATCACATTTGTTAAATATTACACTGGCTAACCAAAAGGGTTCTGCATTCAATAGTGTTTTGCAAACTAACAATGTTGGGCTTCTTTAATATACCCTGACCAACCTGAACAACATTTTCGGTAAACACACTCTGTGTGCTCTAATATATATATATATATATACATATATAAACACTGCCCAATGAAAAGATTGTTAAAGCTGTCGTCACACATTACTTTTCTGTGTGTGTCTTAGCTATGCGCTCTGCGGTAACATTGTGCCACTGTGTGCAGCCACTGAGCACCACGTGTCAATAAAAATGAAAAAGGAAATTATGTAACTGCTAATCGCATGTGTGTTTAAGGAAATTATGTGACTGGGAATGGATTTGGGGCTATTGACAACATAAACGTGTCTGCAGATAAAGGATCACACCCAAGCTCTGCCCCTGCTGGAGGGTCCTTAAAAGCTCCACACCTCTGAACATCTCTGTGTACCTGTGGTGACAGCGGTCACACAGCTTATTTCCACCAACTTCAACTGCAAACACCCGGAATTCACTTTCAATATGGCCAGTCTGCTTTCAATGCAATGTGTCGCCTCCCTGAGAAAAAGCAGAGGTCTAGTTCACTTAGGGACCGCAGTACTGGGAGTCAAGAAGCGAAACTACAGCAGGAAAGAAGCGTGTCCATCTGAGTACCTGCACCAAAGTGTGGTGCCATCGATGCATTACCAGAAGAGTTTACCAAGGTAAGGAGCTCACTATGAATTTGCTCAAACCCTTTTCCCAATATGACTCCAACATAATGTTTTAGTATCAATATAACTTTGGTCTAATTTGAATCTTATCTGCCTTGAAAATATCAAGTGAGTGTAGTTAAGTGTAGGAGTCTAAGGACATTTTCATGATTTTTATAGTCTTTTAAATTTTGTTTTGATCAGGAAAAAAACGAATTTCTAATTTCCAGTGCAGTTTCTGTGAACATATTTCTACATATATTTTTTACAGATTTATATAAATGTCACTGTAACCTTTACCTTTGGCAACTGACACATAATCACTTTATCTTTGAGTCCAAGTGACAACTGATCAAAAGCTGAAGAAATTCCTTCAAGCAATCTTGAGATATCACATTCAAGAGGCCAAAAGAAGTTGTGTTCGTTATACATGATCAGCTGCTACCTCGATCATCATCCATGATCACGATCTACCATGCACCATCCCAGTCATGACGCACAATTTACTATCATGATCATGAACCACTGATCCACCATTAAGATGCCATCACGATCTCTGATTCACGATCCACCATCACGATACACAATGTGGCCACAGCAGTGATCTGAAAATGATAAAGCACAAGGACTCTGGAGAAGTCACAATAACATGAATTGATGAGACATTTATGTGATGAATAAGGAGAGAAGGAAATAAATGCATTCTAGACCTATAGCAGCATAACTACGAGCTGGGCCAACTGAAACAGTTCTACCTATAAGGTTTATCACAAAGGAAGTTTTAAGTCGACTCTTAAACATAGAGGGGGTGTCTGCCTCCCGAACTGAAACTGGAAGATAATTCCACAGGAGAGGAGCCACACAGTGATTAACTCTTGTGCGTGAAGATGACTCATTAATTTGCACAAATTGGAATCGATGTGAAAAATAGGATTTAAACCAGGTTATATCATTTGATGATCAATAGTGTTGACTGCTGCCTTAACATCTAACAGGACGAGGACAGACCCTTGATCTGAAGCTATTAGAAGGTCATTAGTGACTTTTGCCAAGGCTGTCTACGTGCTGTGATGAGCTCTTACCCCGACTGAAAGTCTACATATATATTACTTTCCTGGAAAAACTCACACAGATGATTGGCTACAACCTTCTCCAGGATTTTAGACAGAAAGGGTAGTTTGGATCTTGGTTTGTAGTTGGCTTAAACCTCCGGTTCCAGGGTGGATTTTTTGAGAATGGGTTTTAGCTATCTTAAAGGTACAGTGTGTAGAATTTTGTGGTATCGAGTGTTGAAATTGCATGTTGCAGCTGAACACCCTCACCTCACCCTCTCCTTCCAAACATGAAAAAGAAACTGTGCCAGCTTTAGTTGTCATAAAAACTCAAAAGGTGTTTAGTTTGTCCAGTCTGGACTAATGTAAAAAAAGCATGGCAGTGTCCGTAGAGAGGGTCCCCTCGATTTAAATATAAAGTATTTGAATATAAAGGGTATTTTCTGGGGTAAAGAAAACTACAATTCATACAATTTAGATGAAATGAACTAGTGTAAACATCATGAGGATTATTCTGCATTAAATTTCTGACAATAGTTCCCTTTCACCTAAATCTTACACACTGAACCTTTAAAGGGCCGTGGTACATAATCCTGATGATAACGATAGATTGATTAAAGTAAGTAAAGTACTATTTATTAGGGGCAGAATTTCTTTAAGCAACTTTGTAGGAATAGGATCTAAAATACAAGTTCTGGATTTAGACGATGAGATTATTGTTGTTAGCTGATCAAGGGTGATCAGAGAGAAGCTGTCTAAACAATTAATAGGATTCCTGAGATTTCTATGCTTGATAGTGTCAACTGAGGGCAGGAGATTAGATTGTATTATTAGTAAGAATTGTATCATTTATAAAGACATTGCTGGTTAGGGATGGATGAATACTGGGTTCAATGGAGGAGGGACTCTCTGTTAGCCTGGCCATAGTGCTGAACAGAAACCTTTTTTTATTTCCCTATTAATATGGAACAGTTTGCAGCTCTTGCTTTGTGGGGGGCATTCTTATATGCTCAACCACTATCTTTCCAGGATAGGTGATTTTAGGGGTTTGGGGTCTAATGTTAATCGTAATGAGTGTACAGAGCTATCAAGTTTTTAAAGAGTGAGTTAAATGTAATTGTAATAATTTCCTTAAATTTAGCTACAGCACTATAAGGTAGTCATCTACAAAATGAGTTTTTTATTAATGTCATGTAGTCTGATAATGAGAAAACTAAGGTTGTTAAATTATGGTCTGACAGATTTTATTGCAGTTTAATCAGCCAAATATATATCTCTAATTGGGCTTGTTTGGCTAAGAAACATTGTATTAAATGGAAAATATTTCTAATTAACTTTTTTATGTGATATTCACCAGGAGTGTGGCCAGTCTTTTTGTATACTGTAATATTTACTGAGCTGTTGAAAGGCTGAAWTGTCTCCTTGATTATTTTGACAATTGTTCAGGTTACCCATACCAAAGCTGGAGGATACCATGAGGAGGTATTTAGCTGCCCAGCGGCCTCTGTTGGATGATGACCAGTTCAGGTATGTGTAGTGAGACACTCAGTCTGTTCATTTCATTCATGGACRATATTAACAGTTAAGATCTTGCAAAACTCTTTTTCTTGTGTGCCCTCAGAACAATAGAGAAACTTGCACAGGATTTCCAGAGTGGTGTGGGGAAAMAGCTGCATGAGGAATTGGTAGCCCAGGATAAAATAAATAAGCATACAAGCTACATCTCAGGTGACGCCTTTCTTGACAGTCTTCAGCCTGAAGTTGAACATGTCAAATCTATACAATTACTAATGCAACTGGTTGACTTACTTTTATTTCAGGACCATGGCGTGATATGTACCTGTCTGCTCGTGAGTCTSTGGTGCTGAACTTCAACCCCTTCATATCCTTCAAACTGGACCCTAACACAAAGTACAATGACCAGCTTATACGGGCAACTAATATGGTGTGCTCAGCTGTTCGCTTCATGAAAACACTTCGAGCTGGATTACTGGAGCCAGAGGTTTTTCATCTAAACCCAGCAAAGAGTGACACAGACAGATTCAAAAAGTTAATCCGCTGGGTCCCATCCTCTCTATCTTGGTATGGAGCCTACATGGTGAATGCTATCCCCCAGGACATGTCTCAGTACCTTCACTTCTTTAACTCAACTCGGATTCCGAAATGTGGAAGAGATAAGCTCTTCACTAATGAAAAAGGGCGACATCTCTTAATTATGAGAAAAGGCAACATGTATGTGTTTGACATCGTAGACAGAGATGGGAATTTAGTGAAGCCTGCAGAGATCCAGTCCCACTTACAGTACATTTTGTCTGATCCGACACCAGCGCCCACCTTTCCTCTTGGGGTGCTGACTAGTGAGAACAGGGATGTGTGGGCCGGGCTAAGGGAAAGACTGATAGCTGCTGGAAATGCAGAGAAATTAAATCTTATTGACAGTGCTATTTTCTGTCTCTGCCTGGATGATGAGACCATGCGAGACCATATTGACATCTCCCACAACATGCTGCATGGTGATGGCTGCAACCGCTGGTACGACAAGTCCTTCAGCATCATTCTCACCAAGGATGGTCAGGCAGCCATTAATTTTGAACACTCATGGGGCGATGGCKTAGCTGTGCTCCGCTTTCAGAATGAGATCTTCAAAGACACCACAGAAAAGCCACTGGTGCACCCAGGCTCTGTTGCTGCTGCTGTAGATTCAGCCTCTGCTGTGCACAGACTGGACTTTAGGATGAACAGTGAGCTGGAAAATGGAATCATAAAAGCAAAGGAGAAGTTTGACTCAGCAGTTTCCACTCTCACCTTTGGCCTCGTGGAGTTCAAGAAGGGTGGGAAGAATCAGATAAAGAAGAGCAAGTTGAGTCCAGATGCTATAACCCAGCTGGCTTTTCAGATGGGCTTCCTGAGGCAGCATGGACAGACAGTGTCCACATATGAGTTGTGTAGCACCGCAGCATTCAAGCATGGCCGCACAGAGGCGATCCGACCAGTTACCTTACACACAAAACAGTGTTCGCACGCCTTTGTTTGTCAGCCGGGACAACACAGTGTGGAGCAACTACAAGCCATGCTCCAGGAATGCTCCAAATATCATGGGCAGCTCATCAAGGAAGCAGCTATGGGTGTGTATGAGACATTTCTACATATGTTGATCACACAACACAAATTTACAAATGAGGTGACATTTTGATTGTCCCAATTTAGTATATACTTATTTAAAAACCCTGAACATTTGGTTTCATATCTTCAAACATTTCATAGTTAAAAATTGTTTTACTTCTTGATGTTATCTAGCCGGAGAGGTGCTATGAAGGCTTTAATTGTCAGTGTACAAAATAACACAACAAAATTTTATTTAAACTTACACATTGAAACTGGATATACATATACTTATACTATATGTATTGAAACTGACACCACAGCATAAGTGTCAACTTACATGTAAACTCTGAGCTGCTGCACTAACTGCCTCCTCCATTTCTCTCACCAGGACAAGGTTTTGGCCGACATCTATTTGCCTTGCGATACCTGGCCATCTCAAAGGGCCAAGCCCTGCCAGGCCTGTACACTAGCCCTGCAAACATCCCCTTGCAGAAAAACACCATTACCACCAGCTCCCTTGTCAGTCCAACTTTGGGCCTTATGGGCTTTGCCCCGGTGGTGCCTGATGGGTTTGGCATTGCCTACAGTGTCCACAACGACTGGATCAGCTGCTGTGTGTCCAGCACCCCAGCTGGCAAGATCCATGAATTCATTCAGTGTGTCCACAAGTCTTTAGAGGACATTTTCACAGTCTTAGAGGGAAAGACACTCCGTTAATAAACAAGTGCTTATTAAAATAAGAAAATAAAAATGAATTTTACAGTACAGCAAAGGTGAGCGAGGTCATCACTTTCAGCTTGTGGTTGGCTAATTTAACATTTCATCATACTGAGAACTGCCTTCTTTAAAATGCTACACATCTGAGGGGTCATGATGCATTCTATCAAAATAACTTTTTTTATTTTTTATTTTTGTTGCTTGTATTTTCCTGTCAACAGTAAGTTATGAATTCAATCATATTAAATTAAGCATATTTTTACATTGAGATGATGAGATGTGTCCAACTCAATGTTTCTTTTTGTGTCCCACTGTTTCATTCTGTGTTCCACTTGGATTTCCTGTTTTAATTTGTAGTTTCTGCTCCTTGTGTGTTTTCTACCTTGACTTCCTGCCTTTGTTAGTGTCACCTGTTTGTCCTGTGCCACCTGTCTCTAGTTTGTCATTGGTTCAGTGTGTATTTTAATCTCTGTGATTGCCTTGGTCTTTGTCAGTTAATGCAATTTGGCTTTTGCATGATCTCTGTGCCCTGTTCTACATTTTTGGTCCAACCGCTCCTCTAACCGTGACACACCATGACAGAATAAACCGACCAATTACGGACCTAGCAGAGCTAAACATTTTTTATAAAAAAGTTTCTGATTTGGACTACATGGTGGACAAGCTGAGCATCATACACAGCAGTAAGCAGTGCTACTGGGTAGGATTTCAACAGTACAGGCATGGCTAGAGGACATTTATACATATTTGGTATAAATATTGTTCACATACGGTTGCCAGAGTGGCCTTGCTTCTTCATCACCCTCTCAGATGTGCTAAGTTAGTTTCTCTTCAACTTGTTAAAAGCCTTGTACCTCTTAGAGAGCAATCTCCATGCCCTTACACAATTTGGAATATCTCAGTATAAGCCTAGATAGTAAAGTATTTGTCTGACAAGTTGTTTAGCATCAGAGCAGATATTAAATCCCGGTTTGTTGCGGCCATTGTCACTATAAGTGAGTCTGCTTATTGTCAGTTTTGTGATCCAGCCCCATCTATTGGTTTTGGGGGCTTCTTCATTCAGGTCTGGCCAACCAAACCCGATACTCTCTACCCCTTGGTCTATAAATCTATAGATCCTCAATAATTACAGTTGCATCAAACATTTAGTTAGCTTTCTATATCCTTATTACTAATTTGTTGGCAAGGTGAGTCAGAGTGTCTCACATGTGTCTCATTGATACAGTGATGGAAGCAGTCTTACCAGAAATCTGCCAAGGTTATTCTCATTTAATCCTCCGCATGACCTTACCCTCTAACCTTAGAGGAACACATGTACACAGCATTTCCAATCACTCAAAGACTGATGGAACTTGTCAAGACTTTGGGTTATCATGCTATGTCACAACAAGAAGGAATATTGATTGTCAAACATCATCAGTTGCTACACCCTTGATGCTTTAATATGTACTCTCCGTGGCCTAATTCCATTGTTGCATGCCGGATCTTGGGGACCCCCCTTGACCCGCGGCTGGGGCAGTCACAACATGTTACAGTGCCTTTGTCACCCAAAGAACAGGCGCTTTTGTAAAACCCATCTTCTGGTGCAGGTTTTCCTTTCAACCTCCTCACACTTACACATGTTCCACCCGGAACGGGCACCTCCTGTTGGGCCCCACATGAGCTGGGCATGGCTGCCGGTGGACAAACTCCTGTCTCTGCGTGCGTCAGGCTCTGGCGTGAGGTGATGAGCATTTTGTGGGGGCTGCGGGTGGTCGAGGGTGCTCGGTGGGTGACGACACAAGGTGAATGAAGAGCTCCACTGCACCCTTGTCGCAGTATTTATTGCACTCCCATCCATCCTGGGAGAGGGATCCCTCATAGCTCTCTCTGAGGTTTCTATGTTTTTTTGTATCGAACTCATCAAGCATCAGAAACTAATCATCTTTTGTGAATATGTGCTATACAAGTAAAACATTTGATTGAATAATATGTATGTGCTTTGCAGCCGTATGATGTTGTTGCATATCAGCTGGTTTGCTGAGTTTAAAGTGTTCAATATTGGTTCATTTGTTGCCATGTGGTTGTGGGAATCCAAGTTTACTACGTATACTCCCCCACAGCCAGGGTGCCTTTGAGGGGAACCTTACTAAGTAGTATATTCTCCTGCAGGCCAATGCGTCTAGAGAATGGCCACACTGCGTCAGCGAATGGCGCACACTTATAAGATAATGATCCATAACATCAGGCTCTGAATCTGTGCAGTTTTGGGGGGTTACAAGTATTTGCTCATCACTCCCATCATATCTGTGTAATCATATCAGGGGAGTGATTAAGCACCTAGACGCCAAATACAAACCTGTTCTTCTGTTGCAATAAACATTTGAAGGTGAGTTGTCTGGCTGAACTAACATTAGCTTTCAAATAACTTATATCCATATCATCACAACACAAATCAAACTTATTGAACATCACATTAATATAATTTAAACAGTCCTGTGCATAGCCTAGCATTATTAGACCAGTTGTGTTACCAGTTCATGAAAAGAGGGAAAAGGTCGTTTGTGAGTTTTCCTGTGTATGACCATTGCCTGTTTTTCCTGCCGTGATTCTCTTTGCCTGCTACCTTGGGTACCTTGTTTTGGACTACCCTTGTTCAGAACTGGACTGTAATAAACCACCGTATTTGCTACTCTGCCTGTTGAACGGTGCATTCTTGGGTCCTCCATCTCTTGGTTCTGATACCCTTAGTGGCTGACATGAACCCAAGTTGCTCTCGCAGTGATTTTGATGGCAGTGTGCATGGTAGGGTGCATCTGGAAAGGTCAGTCCTACCTTTTGGAATTCCAGTGCTTCCTACGCACATCACCACAAAATCATCTGGTTTATATGTGGGGTTGGGGGGTTGGTCAGCTGGCGTGTCCTTCACCTGTGTATGGATCAGAGATAGGGTGGAGGACAAAGCCTTGCAATATTTTCAGACATTTTCATAGAAATAAGTTTTCTTGTTTCCACAGAGCACCAAAACCATGCATTACACCAAATGCTTATCTTGAGTCTATATAAATAGTAACAGTTATGTCTTTTGCAACCTTACTGGATTAGTTAGTGCCACCAGCTCAACATCTTGAGCATAGAAATGGCATGGAATTGGCATAGATCTCACTGTCTCTAACCTACTTTATTTTGACCAGTGGTGGGGTTGTGAGACACTGAACCATCTACAAACAGCACTAGCTCAGGGTTAGACAATGGTAATTCAGACAGATCATTACACGGGAGCAAAGTTCATCAAGCACAGCAACACAGTTATGCTCCTCTCCATCTCCTGAAACATACAAAAGAGTAGCAGGATTCAAAACATTACATCATTTCTCAGTGATGTTAGGCATGTCAAGTTGCAAAGTGTTTTAATATCACTCATCTAGCAGTTGAGAGGTAAGATGTTTTCTGTTCTAGTAAGATCATAGAAACAGCGTGTGGGACAAGGAGAGTCTGGTCAGAGTAGCCTACTATGTCCCTGGAGGCCATAACTGCCTTTTCAGCTGCTGCTACTGCACAAAGGCACCATGGTAGGCCAGCAGCAACATGGTTGACTTTAGCAGATAAATAAGCTACATTGCATGTTGGAGCAAGACATAATTCATGCACCTGTTTCTTTTATCCACAGTCTGTGTGAATGGTCTCATAGGGTCAGGAAGCCCTAAAGTCTAAAGTGCTTGTTCTGTGCTGGATGTGCATGTCACTTTGTCATGAGATTGCAGGCCTTTGCCATGAACAATAGCACTGATTGGTGCTTCTATCACAGCATAATTAGTAATAAATGTTCTACAATAGGAGCACATTCCTAAAAAGAACAGTACTTGTTTCTTAGTCAGTGGTCTTAGTATGTTCTGTATAGCCTTAATACATTTGGTTGAGTGGGATTTGCCCTCTAGTCCATGCATTGTCACATAAACAATTGATTATTGTAATTCCTTATCATCAGGCTCCAGCAGTAAGTTGTCAAAGACTCTGCAGCTTATCCAAAATGCTGCAGCATGTGTCCTGACAAGACCCAGGAAAATAAATTACATTTCTCCTGTATTAGCTTCACTACACTGGCTTGAAGTGAAATCGAGAATATAATCAAAAATTCTCCTCCTCGCCTACAAGGCCCTTAATAATATGGCACCATCATACCTTAAAGAGCTCATAGTACCATATCGCCCCACTAGAGCACTGCTTTTCCAGAATTCAGGCTTACTTGTCCCTTAGTAGAGTAGGAGCCAGAGCTTTCAGCTATCAAGCTCCTCTCCTGTGGAATCATCTCCCAGTTTTAGACTGGGAGGCAGACACCCTCTCTATGTTTAAGAGTAGGCTTAAAACCTTCCTTTGTGATGAAGCTTATAGTTAGAGCTGGTCCAGGCTTGTCTTAGATCTGCTCTTGGTTATGCTGCTATAGGTCTAGAATTTCGGCGGACACATGACACATGGAGCTTCTCTTTGCCCTTCTGCCTCTTCACATCAAAAAAATGTTTCATTAATACATGTTACTTCTTCCCCGGAGTCCCTATGCCTTATCATTCATAGATCCAGGGCCATGGCTTCAGCCACATTGTGGATTACGATGATGGATCTCAAATCAGAGATGTATCGTGTTGGCTGATCACGATAGTAATGGCGGATCCTGTATCGTGCTGGCATTTGACCGTAATGGTGGACCATCATCAACGTGGCAGTCATGATGATGGATTGTGATGGTGTATCCTGATCGTGGTGGCTGCTGCTTGTGGACTATGATGACTACGATTACAACGAGACTGCTTGATATACCATATGTCTACTCAGATACCCTGCCATTATTGACAATAATTTTTTCAATTTGTTTATGCTGTAAATAGTGTTATTGTGGCATCTATTGCACGTCTGTCCTGGGAGAGGGATCTCTCACATGTGGCTCCCTCTGAGGTTTCTACGTTCTTTTTGTTTCTATTTTTCCTTACTTTTATTGAGGGTTGATGGCAGATATTACATCTTGTTAAAGCCCTATGAGACAAATTTCGATTTGTGAATATGGGCTCTACAAATAAAATTTGATTGATTGAACAAGAACGCTGAAAAAGGCATAAGCCAGGAATCAGGCGAAACCTGTGACAGGATAGTGTATGGATTAGGAACAGTTGGAGCCCTTGGTTGAATGGCTGTGTTCACCACTTGTAGGTCTTGAACAAAACAACACTCAGTGGGTTGACCTTTATAATTTTTCTTAACATGAAAAATAGGTGCCAGTGATTTGTTGCATGGAATGATTACTCCTGCTTTCTGCAATGATTCAAAAAATTAAGCATTGTGTTCTAATAGAATTGAAGTAACTGGTGATCAATTCTTCAAACTTAAAAACAAGAGTAAATATTTAACATGTAGGTGGTGCACATGGACTCTATCTTATAGTGAAAACAGAAAACAGAATCATGTGCTAGTTTCAACTAGAATAACAGCTGCAAGGGCACAATGGACAAAGATACAACAGTAGCTGAGCACACATGTAATGATGATTATAAATTGTCTTTATATTTAAACATGTGAAATATTTGTCTTGATTTAAAGGTTCAGTGTGTAAGATTTAAGAGAAAATTATCTATTGGCACAGATTGAATGTAAAATAATCCTCATGATGTTTTCACTAGTGTGTTTCATTTAAATTGTATGAGTCTCTTTTTCTTTACCCTAAAACAGGTCCTTTATATTCAAATACTTTATATTTACATCAAGGGGGTCCTTTCTATGGAGGCCGCCACGTTTTTAACAGTAGTCCAGACTGGACAAACTAAACACATTTTGAGTTCTTATGACAACTTAAGGCTTCCACAGGTTCTCTTTCATGATTGGGAAGAGAGGGTGAGGTGAGGGGTATTCAGCTGCAACATGCAACTTTACCACTAGATGTCACTAAATTCTACGCACTGTACCTTTAAGTCAGATATTAAACAGGCTTAAGGGTAAAGAACCATAGCATAATTGATAAACTGCCCGTTTTCCAGACAGGAAGAAGATGTAGAAGAAGAAGAAATAATAAATTTTATTATGATTATTTTTAATATTTAGACATTGTATTGTAAGATAACTCGATAAACCTCCACACCAATTGGTGGCGGTAATGCACAATAAAGTTGCTTGCCTACTGCGATAAATATAATGAAGAAGAATAAACAGGAAGCTCCTCCCTGGATACAAGGGACGCCACAGTGGTCGCCAAGCCGTTTACATTTACTCAGTTTGACGTTAAAGTTCAGAGAATCGTGAAGGGTCTACAAATCAATCTATGACGAACTTTTTATCAATGTGCAGCGCGTGTGTAGCTAGCCAGCGGCCAGCTAACATGCTATTATCCGCTAGCTAGCTAGTCTATCTACCTGTAACGCAGGATGGAAAGGTTGTAAACACGTGTGGCTGCTGTTCAAACAAACGTACTGTGAAGATGTGGAGACGAGGCGGTGGGAGCTCAGCCCTGGAACGAGCTGAGGTGCTTCTGTCCGCTAAGAGGAGCAGCAGAGGAGACGCTGCCGCCGGGGCCACACCGCGACCTGCGCACTCCACACCCACACACACTGTGAGTCTCCACCAGGCGCACACGTCTGTAACACTGCAGGACGAAGCACGGAACAAAGTCCTGCAAACATAATGTCAAGGTGCTTCATCGATCTCACCGTATTCACAATAAGCATCGTCGATTAAGCGTACATGGGTATCAAATGTAAACGTGCAGATTCAATGATCCCTGTCAAAGTGTAATAGGCTTATGTTATTTTAATGAGATGATACATTATATCATTGTTATTATTAGTAGCGGATTGCTATCTGAGCAGGATTTGAATGTTGCAGCTGCCTGGTAAGAGTTGTTTTAATAGTTTATTTTTTAAATGTTTGTTCAGCAGTTTGAGCTGTTCTTAAAACACTGTTTACGATCAGAATCAGTAATAGCTGTCTACTCAGTGTTGCAGAGTTAAAAGTATAACGTTTTTTGTTTCCACGACTAAAGAAAACCTCTTGAAATAATTTGAAAAACAGAAAGTACATGTATTGTCGCCACCCTCTTCCGTTGGGCACTGATTGTGTGGCTAGGAAAACCAGATCTGTGGCCCTCAAATAGCCACACGTTGTTCTCAGATGTAAGTGACCTGGCCTCAGTGTCTGTGACTCTGTGAGTACTGAGATCCTTTACTGAAGTGAAAGTACTAATTCTACACTTTAAAGATACTCTCTACTTAAGAACAGTAAGTGTTATCAGCAAACTGTGCTATGAAAAGTGATGGTTGTAATTCTTTACTATTTTATCTGTCAGTTTTAATATTGATATTACATTTGTATGTTGCATTGTACTGCTGAAGAAGTTAAGGGTTGAGCTCATTTGAACTACTTTATACACTGTTGGGTAGTTTTATCTATAGCAAAGCATCACATTCTATAAGATCATCATCATTTGTGAGAACCATGTATCTTTAAGTCATAATTTTGTCATCTGTTATGTAACTAAAGCTGTCAGACAAATATAGTGGAGTAAAAAGTAGTAGTAAAGGTACCTCAAATGTGTTCTTAAGTAAAGTACTTGAGTAAATGTACTAAGTGACAGTTGCCCAACGCAGAGGCAAATGTCCTGTGGTGCTATTGTACTCTATGCTGTTTCACTCAGAACATAAAAAGAGTGGAATCATTTGTCAGGTTTGACAACAAGCTTTCACGTCTTGTGATGCTGCCTGACCTCGTCTGTTTTATTCTCCCAGGGCCTCAGACCTCAGAGCTCTCTGGGAGCAGGAGGAGGAAGAGGGAGCAGGTTTGTGAAGAAGGCTCCGCCGTCTGCAACCAACAGCAGCCAGTCACCTATCAGCAAGAGCCAAATGCAGCAGATGTCTGAACCAAGGTATACAGTTCTGTAGATAAAAAAACATAAAGTCATGATGAGCACCTGAGTGAAAAGAATCAATATTTCTGTTCAAATAATCACAGTTAAAACGTTTTTCATCAATCTCTCCCCATCTGGTCAGATATGTGTCATCCTCCCAGACTGCTGCTCTGAGTAGACTGGCTCAAATTGAGAGCAGCATCCACAGCCGTAAACAGATCCAGGAAGAAGCCAGACCGCAAATCTCTCCTCCACCAGAAACAACCAGTGTGCCAGTCTCAGTTCAGTCCAGCAGTGACCAGAGTCTGAATGGGAAACGTTTCCTCAAGAACAAAACAGCAGCCAGAGCCGTTGACAGTGCCAACACTGCTGCTGCTTCTGGATCTCCAAGAGGACCAGATGTTGGTGTCAGGTCTATGTCCAGAGCTTCTGGTGCTGCGCTCTCTTTGGCAGGTTTGGAGAGGAAGTCAAAGAGAGTAGTGAGTGGTGTGAGTCTGGAAAGTGATGTAGAGGACATGAGGGAACTGCTCGGAGACTCTTTGGATTCAACAGACAACAGCTTGTTAAAACTGGGGATACCTGCCTCTGTGAGAACAGCAGACAAGGTACCTTTCCAAAGCTTAACTTTGATGTCTGAGAGAGGCATATTATTACCAGGATTGTGTTAGACTAATGCCATCATTTCACATTTCACTCAGCGGTACTATACATGTTTTAAAACCGTTATTCTGAGAAAATATTTTACAGTTTTGAAATAATTTTGACTCAAAAAAACTATGGAGATTAGATCTTATGTCCCTCTTTGTCACAGGTTTACTGCACAGCAAACATTTACATACGAGGCAAGTGTCAGTATATGACTATATTGATGAAAAATATGTAAAAAGTTTGGGTCTGACACTACACTTCCCATCATGCTTCAGGTGACGCAAAGTTTATTGCAATTATTGAGTCAGTACATTTTCGCATATGAAATCTCATGCTGCATTATTGCTAGCAGGCGCTGTTAGCACTGCAGCCATGAATGCACAGATAAGAATGAATTTGATTAGTTCTAATACTTAGGAGGACTGCAGCCCTGTTCAAATCTGGTATTAGCATCCATCTTGGGTGAACTGATCACAAGTGGACTGGTGTAGAGGTGTGAACGCACCCAAGGCACATTGAGCTTATATTTGAGAGATCGCTCAATATATATATGTCACTCAAACCACATTCAGAGGCGATCTCGGCCACATTTCAGGACCACCTACTCTGCTGACGTCTCTGACCCGCCACAGTTTTATAATGAATCCAAAGTATTTTTACACCTCTCAATATTTTAGATACACTGATTTATGTGCGGTCACAACAACACCACACTGACCACCACATATTGATTATCTACTTCATTTAAAGTATTTATAATTGTTAAAATTGTATTTTGTTGAAGAACTTTGGTTAGTACATTAATTCACTCAGCATCCCCTTGCCCTACCTTCCTTCCCCATATTTTGAGGTTACACGTATCAAATCAGGTCTCACACGTCAAAATCTGCATTTCAAGACAGTGGTTGTTTACATTGCAAAAGAAAACGCTCTGCTTTCCTCTCTTACAGATGTTGAGCAAAAGTAATCAGAAGGTCCACTCCACACCTCAACGCACTATTCGTCCTTTGCCACCTTCCAACGCAGCACCACCACCTCGCTCTCCCACCTCCCCTTCTCGCCGTTCATCTCCTTTTCGATACACTGGCCAGGTCCAGGCCCAGTTCAGCCCCTCTGTGCTCTCTCCCACCCCCTCTCCTACGTGCCTCTCCCCCTCTCCACCAAGGAGATGGAACTCTGCTCGTAGGGTGGCCAGTCCACAGCGCTCCCTCTCCTCCATGTCAGGCCACAGTGAGGTGCACTCTCTGGACGAGCTCTTCCCTGTGGCGCTTGGCTTTGAAGATCCCCACAGCGAGATGAGCTCAGTTTCATCTGAAGGTGAGAGAAGCGTACACGGCCAATTAGATACATCAGTTAGAGATAAAAAATCAAGAGTCAATAGAACCTTAAGTCAACAGAGTTCTTCAGTGATACGTCACAATATTATTGTTGAGAGGTTAACTGGTGTAAAAATATCATTTTTCATACAAAAGAAGTAACACGCTGCTTTGTTCATTAATCTTGTTTTCTGAACTCCTTATCTCATGCATCCTAGATGGACAACAAGGTACATAGATCTTTTCATAGTTTTAAATCTTTGAATGTTTAGGCATCTTTCTTATGTTTGTGCACATAAATTATACAGGTACTTTAATAGTTTAGTAGTTTATTACACTTTCATTATGAAGCGGCTGTGGCTCAGGAAATAGAGAGTCGTACATAAGTATAGAGGCGCTTTATGAATATGTGTGTGAATGTGACAGTATGGTAAAATGTTTCAAGTGGTCGATAAGACCAAATTCTAGAATTTCCTTTTTAAACATAAATGTGTTGAAACATTTTTATCACGTCAGACACAGTGACCTAGAATCATTGTTTATTACTTTAATTTATTTTTGATGTCTTGTGTGTTACTGTACTACTATTACCACACATGCCAGTTGTGTGGATATATGCTGTCATTTTATAAAATTCTGATCTTGTGCTATTACAGACTTTATGATAAATGTGATGACGTTAGATGACCTTGTCCCGGCTTCTTTTGGATATACAGAGGAAACACCAAAACAGGAGGTGGGCAATGACAGAAAAAGAATAATAAGAGCAGTATAATTAAACAAACAGTAGTAATATATTTCCTACTATGTATTGTGTGTGGCCTCAGTAGTGAAATGCTTCCTGGCAGTAAAGATGGACAGGGATTATAGGAAATTTCAGTGTAAAGAAACAAACTGGCTCTTGTTTCAATTAATGGCATTTGGCATTTTGACCATCATTTCTAATTACACACTTAAACTAAACAACAATAGCTGCAATAAGGAATATTTATACATGCATAATAATCGAAAAAAAAACCTTAGTAAATAAAGTGGCACTTGTATCATAAACCAATATTCAAAAATGTAGAACTGAATTGTAGATCTTTTTTCTGTATCTGATTCTGAACCAAGTCTCTCACAATAGAGCCTGATACTGTAAAGTCATTTGTTATTTGTGATTTGATTTGATCACAATGATTTAACTTGTCTTCTCTGTACATGGGGAGATGACTGCTGTGAGGGCAATACCAATAGGATTACTCTTCTAATGCAACCACCCATTTTGTGTTTTTTATTTGAATTATTTATAGTTTAATCTATTTCCCCTTTGACTGGGAATCTCTTCTGATTCCCCGGTGGATTGATGTTTTTGCTTCCTTTTTACTGCATAAACAGAAAGAAGCCAAGCACAACGCCCTTTCTCCTGGATCTCTGAACAGACGTGAGCAGTCACCAAGACTGAGGGAGAAGAGGGACGAGGAACAACAGCAAGAGAAAGAGGACATGTTGGACTATCAAAGTGACTTTGAGAGTGAGAGCAGGTCACAGCCAAATCACAGTGCCAGCCAGGTATCAGAGCACCTGCAAGAAGATGGAGATGAAGTGGGGGAGATTTCGCAGGACAGAGAGGAGGCTTTGATTTCAGACGTGTCCCGTGAGAGAACAGAAGATGATTACTCGAGCACTTTCTCGGACTCGTCCTCGCGGACTCCAGGTCGCAGTCAAACGTCAAAGTCATTCAGCATAAGCAGAGACTCCAGATCCTCGGTGTCACACATCCGCAGGACTTCAAGTCACCAGTCGAGGAGGCGTGCTTCAGCCAGAAAGGTTTTAAAAGAGGTGGCAGTACAGACGCAGCCTGATACCATGTCGCACACGTGGTCAACTGGTTAGTCTTTCATACAATATATTTCATATTGTATTTAAGATGTTGTAGAGACCACTTTCTTCACTATGGTCACATTAATGTAGTTAACTTGTCATTTAGTGTTCAGGATTCATTTGTTAATGACATCGACAGTAAAAGTACTACATGTGTCATATTTACTAAGTGGGATCTGAGGTTTAGGACTAAACAACAATGTCTGTTTCTGATCTCTGATTCTCTCTCTCTCTGCAGGCGTAGCTACATTTGACCCCAAAACCTACATTAATCCCACCCCAATGGCTGCTTATACTCTCAGTGAAGAAACACTGGAAGGTAAGAGACAGTGAAATAGAGAATAAGATGCAACATAATCACACATAAATCCTAATCCTTTATTTTGATAATGGAGAATTGTCAGTGGTTTTAAACCTGCAACAGGATGTTGACGCACTGAATGATATGAAAAACATACACAACAGTGCTATTTTGTTAATGGTAGCAACGATGTCCACTGAGGAGAATATCTGGGTTTTGGTCAATAAGAATATGATGCAAAATTTCCTCAGAGGTGTCCATTTACTCTCTCCATGTCGCTGCAGCGCCATCTGTCGCTGAAATGCTATTGAAGTGTGCAGGGTGGCTTCGAGCCAGTTCACACAATGCCTGCAAGACTAAGACTTTTGTTTAAAGTAAAACAGTTTGTTGTATCAGAAAAGAAACCTTTTGGAGACCTCATCCAATATCTAATGAACTATACCTGTACATAATGTTGCTTTGCAATGACATCTGCTGAAAGTTAAAACTATCTGGGACAGGATTTGTGTCTTAAAAAATTATAAATTGGTGGGTATCAAAATATTTTCCTGCCATACTGCACTTGACTCAGCAGCTGCAGGGAGAGTTAGATATTTTGGTGAATACACTTATTTCCTTTTTGTTAAGTTTGATGAGTTAAAGATAAATCTTTAACTTGGGTCACAAAACAGTAAGCTTAGAAAAAAGAGTGGGAGCAGGTGGAAACACCCAGACAAGAGATATCATCTGACACTGATGGACAGAGTCTTTGTGCTAAGTGAGCCAGCTGCTGCCTATGTAGCTCAAGCTGTAAATAGGCAAACTTCTTGAAATGTTCAACTCCTCCTTTAGTTGTCCTGCATTTTGCCACTAACATGTATTAGAAGAATCATCTTTGGTGTAGCCATGATGTCAATCATTAAGTGTCAGGATCCTCTCACAAGTGTCACAGCATTGGCTGTTACTCCTGTAGAGATTTATTGACACTCAAAGGAAAACAATTCTGAGATAGAGATGTGATCGTACAACATTTCACATTAATAAATTATTTATGGAGAAGAAATTATTAATATTATGTGAATAAAATAATATTGTCAGAATAGTCATATATTTACCAAAAAGTCTTATATTTACAACAGCAAAAGGGAAAAAAAGGAAATAACCTGAAAGGAGAACTTAGCTTGTGCTTGCTACTGCTGCTGCGCAAAACAATGCGGCGCTGATGTGCCCAGACTTTTTTTTTTATCACCAAACTGGAAATAATAATAATGTATTATTAAATAATCTATTGTATAGGAATGCTTTTATCATAGTACTTTTTTTATGTGTCGCCCATGTCTTTCTCCTCAGCTCTCAGCAACTTCAACCCAGCTGCGTTTGTAGTCAATGAAATGCTGAAACAGCAGCTTGCCATGACAAGACGGTTCATCGAGAGCAGCCATCGCCTTCACTCCAGCCTGGTGCAAAGTCTGGAACCACCCAACTACAGATACACCACACTGGAGGACACCATGGAGGTAAAGCACTCTGCTTAAACACACACACACACACACACACACAAACACACACAAATACACACAATTCAAATTACTTTCTAGAGTGAAGTTGTGAATGAATCAAGGAAATGACAAAAATAAATTTGTGAAGCAATAATATTAGATTTTTCCACCACATGTATCTTTGTGCATGAGATAAATGTCTTGCTTTAACCAGTGATGTTGGACAAACCTGTCACCCATTAAATTACTCTTATATTCAAAAGCCAGGCTTTATTTGGGTTGTAGTTACCTCACAAACTATTGTTCTTAATTCTTTCCACAGTACATTCGCAAGCACAGATCTTCCAAACTCACAATGGAGGAAGCCTTAGAGGAGGTTCAGCGGGAGATGAGGGATTGTATGGCGACTGTGTGACTACATCAAACTGGATGACTGAGCCTCCTGGTGCAGAGCAAGAGAAAGTTGCCCTATATAAAGTTTAACATAATTGATTATGATTTTTTTATGCAGTATTATTAATAATTGTTGTCAACTCGTCACATGCCATGAACAACACATGCCTATAGTGTCTTTAGTGAAAAAATCCTGTCATACATTTAGTTATGATGCCAGCTTTTTAATGGTCTTAACGAGTAATTTATAAGACTTGACCCCCCCCCCCACTGGTGAAATAATATTAATAATAAGTAAGTGTCCACGCTGTCACATGTGTATTCTCAGGAAATAATGATAAACAATGTTACACCTTCATGACTGTGATTCTGTTGTTTTTCATCGGATGAAGTGACTCAAATGTAATTACACACCTTCCTTCCTCATTTCCTGACTGGTGTCTATTAATATGCAAATACTGAGCTTACTCCAGCTACTATTAAGTGTTTTACTGAGTTACACTTCACATATCTATACATACACTTATTGATCTATGACACTGTTGAGTCACAGTGTCAGGTCATGAGCTTGAATCCAGCCCGGGAATCTCCTTATGGACGTTCGCATGGTCTTCCAAGGTTGTGGTGGTCCCACTGGGCACTCCTGCCTCCCTCATGGTTCACATGCGCAGTAGTAGGACCCATGGCTCCAAAGGTGGGAGGTCCTCAGGTGAGAGTGCTGGTGGTTGTGTGACCCTCCATGTCAGCCCTGCAACAGATCGGCGACCTCACTAGGTCCATCCCTCATTAGGACCCGAGCCCGAGCCAGGGCTTGTCTCATGTTTAATATTAGAATCTGCTGCACTGTTTGTGAATTGACTCAATAGACACACTCCAAATCTTACTACAGTGTTTCAATCCAGGCTGATGTACAGTACATTTATAGTTTGAGTTAAACTCTACATTTGTAAAGAATCACCTGGTCAAATAAAGACACTTCCAAGTGTAGTAACAAAATGTTTATTTAAAAAATAGCACATACATAATGTGTACAGTCATACAAGATTTTCCAGTCTCCATCATCAACATTAACCTGAAATGATAACGTGCAACAATTCACATGATCTAAAGACAAATTCTGAAGCCAAGATCCAGAACATGTAACTAGTGATGTGGGAGGGTGGTGTTGTGAGGTGTGGAGCCGATGGGGGTTGTTGAAGGCACGAGTTTAGGTTGTAGTGCGAGTCATCAGTAGGGGTCGTTGAAAGGGTAGTGAGGATGTCCTGCATCCCGTGGAACTCGCTTTCCCTCCACCTGCAACGTCCAAACCAGAGCTGAAACGTTTGTCTTTTGTGTATGTATAACTGCATGAGCAGACATGTTTGTGGAGGACTGACCAAATGGTTGACCAAATTGTTTATTTAAAAGGGCAACTTTAGGGTTTACCATGGTGGCTTAAGAGACTTGAATTTTATGGCCTCGAGAAACCACAACTTTATGGCATCTCTGGTTGGGATCTGACACCTGGGGTCTCACAGAACGTGTGAACACATAAGGACAGGATGTCTCCTCCACTGAGTGAAACTACAGGAGGGTAATAAATACCTTTGCATGCTTAGTGGGAGGGGGCTGTGAGTTATAAGAACACTGATTCTCCTATGTTCTTTGCTCATTTGTGCATGTCATTCAAGGTGATGTGTACTAATGAATCCATCTGCAGATGCTGAATTAAACTTACAGAAAGAAGTGTTTGACTTTGTGCTTATTTCACAGAAATGGCCAACACAATGTGTTTACATTCAACTCAACAAACTGTTTTTCACACTGTTCATTTCAATCACTCACTTCAGGTGCTTTTACTTCCACCAATATGCTGGATTAAATGTGATATGGAAAATGTTCAACTAAAATTGAAACATCTGTAATATTTTGCACCAATGTCCTCTACATTTTCTTATTTTTACTATAATCAGGATAAAAAAAGCCTGATGATAATTTATAACAACATAGAAAACTTAGAAACCCCACTTACTTCAATCATTGGCACAATGTAGCGCCAGCCTTTGTCCAGGGCTGTGATACTTTTCATTTCCTCTGGCTCCAGGGTAAAGTCAAACACCTGGCAACAGAAAATTACATCAGCGTTGTCTGAATTAAGAACAAATTAAAATCTAAAAAAACAAGCGTCTTGATATTGAAGTAAATTACTGGAGCTAAAACTCATATCCCACCTGAATGTTCTCTTTGATACGTGACTCCGTCACACTCTTGGGGATTGTTACCACGCCTCGCTGTGTCTGCCACCTGCGAATGCAACACACTTTGTCACCGTAGAGTCTCCTTGCTTTAACCACTGCATGTTCCAGCCCTATTACTAGAAATGAACTATACAATGACAATGCTGTTAACAGTTCTCAAAAGCATGATTGTTTTTAATGGAGCTGGACTGACTGATACCAATGCAGTATTTAACAGTTTAAAAAAACATTAATTGCTGTCAATGTGTCTGTCTGATTGTAAAAGACTTTCAGCTAATTTCCACAGGTAGTATTTTTTTTACTGCATGTGTGGTATCTGTGTTATTAAACTAGTTAGTATGTATTTTATTATTTTGCTTGTGTCTTCAATATTTGGATGTCCTTTTGTTTCTTTAGCTATCGTGAGTTGAGCTGTGTAGCAGACAACTAAAGACACTGCAGTATAATTTGGTGAATGTTAACGGTGTAGACCCAATGGTTTCTAATAGACAAGCTAAAATGTACGAAACAATGCTGAAAAGGTTACAGAATCATATTAATGTATAATGTATGGAAATGAACTACTCATTGACATACTGACAAGATTGTCAATGAGTAATCAAGCTCAAGTTTGAAACCCTAAGCTTGAGTTTTTTTTATCTAGATATAGTGTATCATTGAGCAAAAACACCTTCACATAATAGTGAAATCACCTCAGAATAATCTGAGCAGAGGTCTTTTTATATTTCTCTGCGAGGGTGGCGAACACAGCCTCCTGAAGCACAACGGGTTCGTCTGGATGTTTCCAGGCCCGGTCAGGGGAGCCAAGAGGGCTGTAGGCCGTCATCACCAGGCCTCGGTCCCGACAGTGGGCAAGCAGCTCTACCTGGGCCAGGTAGGGGTGGCCCTCTACCTGTCCAAGCAAAATACAGGGACGCCAGAGTGACTCAAGACTTTTACTGCCAGTTTTCATCTCAACGCTTTGGTGCAGTTGATTTAAACATCATGTACCTGTAGTACAGTAGGTTTGATGCTGGCGACAGACAGGATGTCATCTATCTGCCGACTGTTGAAGTTGGACAGGCCGATGGATCTGACGAGACCCTTCTCCACGAGCTTCTCCATGGCAGCCCAGGTCAGCTTGTAGTCTATGTCATCATATAGCATGGTGCCATCCTCTTTTCTGGGGAAAGGAACATCTCCTCGTCTGGTGGATACAAAATGGGGGCCACATTTAAAGAACAGATTAAAAACAAGGACAGACTGAGGAAGGAAGCAGGCAAACCCGACAGTTTCCTTTGTTTCCTCACAAATTTAGCTGCCTCTACAAGTTTCACTTTAAATTTACATAGCATGAACTGCAATTTATCCCTTTTTCCCCAAAATCTCCCAGTCTCAACATAACAGGTTAACCATCTTGTTATCTTGAAATACCAGTTTAATTACCTTGTTATCTCAGGATATCAAAGACATTTCACCTGATTATATTTTAATTATCTTGTTATCTCTAGAAAACAAAATTGTTTTTCTCAGGATAACAAGTTAACTATCTCATTATTAGACCGTAGAGCAGGTTGAGCTCACTGGAAGGCGTAGGGCCAGTGGATGAGGTAGAGGTCCAGGTACTCAAGCTTCAGATCCTTCAGGGTCTTCAGCAGGGACGGCTCCACGTCTTCTGGGTGATGTTTGGTGTTCCACAGTTTGGATGTGATGAACACATCCTCTCGCCTCAGTGGCTGGTGCACAAAAAACATGTCGAGTGTAGTCAGATAATAGAGGAAGCAGAATGTCAGGATAATGCAGATGAGAAAGTACAGACTATAGATAGAGATATCTAAAGAGACCAGAATCTCAGCATGAGGCAGTTTGGTGAAGGTGTTTCACCTTGTTAGGGCCCAGTGTCTCCTGCAGGGCTTCTCCAATCTCAGCCTCGTTGCCATAAATGGCTGCACAGTCAATGTGGCGGTACCCAGCTTCCAAGGCCCAAACAACTGCTTGTTTCACCTGCAATTTAGGTATAATGTGGCAACTGTCACAGTGAAAAACAGACTAGAAAAGGTACAAGGACAAATTATTTTCAGACATGGACATCAACTGGTAAATCATGGAGCTTGTTATTATTTTTACTTGTTATTTTATTTTTACAAACACAGCATTTGTCCTTAAAATAGTGGAAAACATTAAAATACCATCTGACTGGTTTTGACACTTATAACATCTGACAGATTTTCCACATATGATTAATGAATGAGGATCTATGTTGTTAAGATTAAGTGACATCTAGTAGTGAAGTTGCATGTTGCAGCTGAACGCCCCTCGCCTCATCCTCCCCTTTCAAACATGAAAAATAACCTGTGATAACCTTCAGTTGTCATAAAAACTCAAAAGGTATTTAGTTTGTGCAGTCTGGACTAATGCAAAAAACATGGTGGCCTCCATAGAGAGGACCCACTCCTGATGTAAATGTAAAGGGTTTAAATATAAAGGGACCATTCTCGGGTAAAGAAAATAACAATATGAATACATTTAAATGATAACACAGTATTTTATATTCAATTTCTGCCAATAGGTCCCATTCACCTAAATCTTACACTCTGGACCTTTAAGCTCTGTTTTTATTGCCACCATCTACTGACAGTTCTTTAACTAACAGTTAAGTCAAGGGTTGTGAAACCATAACAATAATCTACCTTTCCTGGCTCGCTCTTCCACGTTCCCAGTCCGAGCAGGGGCATCTTCCGCCCCGTGTTGAGAACTGCAAAGTCATTCATGCCTTTCAGTAGCACCTTTAAAAGGGACAAGGAGAGCATGATTCAGACTGTGCGAGGAGCTGCTCAGCTCACTCAGATGTTTAAAGCTGCAGTAGCAAAAGCTTTATGCAAAACTGCAGCGCTCTTCTTGGCCATACGAAGCTATGCAACAGCATGAGAAATGTATTTGCTACAGCTCCGCACAATGGAGGAGAGAAATCCAGAGTAAGATTCACTGGGGAAGCAAAGCACAGTGTGCTGTACACATGCTGGATTTTTTTCATAAAGATCTGTGCAGATATCTACCAACTTTCAACAAAATCGTTTTGTAGATTTTGAATAATCCTGTGAACAGAAAGACAAACATCTACTGCTATTTTGTCAAACCAGGGAGAGGGATCCCTCACATATGATTCCATTTGGGGTTTCTTTGCTTTTTTTCCCCATGTTGAAAGCTTTTGTGGTGGCTTTTTATCCATGCATGATGAGGGTTAAGGGCAGAGGATGATGCTCCTTTTTAAACCCGATATTACACAAATAGGGATTTGTGAGTATAGGCTGTACAGATAATGTTTGATTTGATTTGGGGATTATTTGAATCATACAGGTCTTTAATCATTGAAGGAAATACAGGAGATAAAAGTCATGAAATGGTCAGCTGCAGTCACAGTGTTACTGAGATATATTTAACAGCAAATCATATAACTGTATTACAAACTGTGGCCATATTGGGAGTGGGACAGACAATGTGGTGCAAAAATATCAGTGCTAATTTACTCTATTGATTTAGGGTCTGTTTAATTGATTTACTTTACATAAATGGTAAATGGTAAATGGTTTTCTAGTCTTGAAGACCACTCAAAGTGCTTTACACTACAGTTTTCCATTCACCCATTCACACACACATTCATACAGTGCTTCTATAGCTAGCACTTTTTTTGATGTTCTATTGGGCAGTTTTGGGGTTCAGTATCTTGCCCAAGGACACTTTGGCATGCAGATGGGAGGACTGGGGATCAAACTTCCGACCTTCTGGTTGGAGGACGACCGCTCTACCCCCTCAGCCACAGCCACTCTACATTCTACATGCAGAGCAGAACATTTTAAACAAGGCAAGTGAATGTTTTATTCTGATATAACAGACTTTATTTTCTTCTCTGCTCTGTTAAATTGATCTACTTTATATAAAAATCTCTACATTTCATTTACAGGACAGGAATGATGGATTTTAACAAAGACAAGTTAATGTGCATGTGACGTGTCTGCAGAGAAAACGGGCCGCAATACAAACAATGCGACGTGAATACAAGGTTGAAGCATGTGAAGCATGTGAAGCGTCTGTGTTTTCTGAATTACCTCGAAATCGAAACGCCTGGATCTAAAATCCCAGCTCTGTCAGCTGACTTCCTGAAAACAAGAGTCACGCGCGGCATCCGCACCTCAGCGACAAAGAGCTGGAGACGTGAAATCAAACCGCTAAGTGCAGATCTGAGTCCAAATGAAATACCACCATTAGATATATGATTAGCGTGAAGACATGGCGGACGTTAGCTTGTTTAACAAGAGCAATGACATCAATCCGTTATCACAGCAGCATCTGGTACTGTTACCAGAAACGGAACCGGACCATTAGCTGCTAAAGCTAGCTAGCTTGCGCTTCTCGGCGTGTAAACACACTTGACTGGACCCTCTCGTGTCCCCGGCTCTGAAGCGGTACCCAGCCTCGCTGTGCCTCTCGGCGGACGAGCGGTCATCTGCAGGAGCTGCTCCCGTCTCGATGACTGCACGTCCCACACGCTACGTGACAGCAGCATGGGAGCCGCGGCTCTCCGCTCGGTCACTCACCGTGTGAAGATGTGCGTTTAAAAACAGGGGCCCTCTCTGTCTGCGCTCCTCCAGCTGTGCAGAGACTGTCTGCGTTTTCTTCAAGGGGTTTAAAAACACCACCTCATTTTGTTGACACTTCCTGTTCCGGTTTGGTGAGTCCTCCCATTCCGGTGGAGGAAACCACCAGTCACCATAAAGCCTGCAGTCACGGCTGGACAGTCCTGACCCAGCCCTAAGTTATGCATGTCAACATGTCACTAACTTTATGTTTTCTTCCATTTCATAGTCTCTCTCTCTCTAAACCTGCAGGATTCAGACAACAACTATTATTATGATTATTACATCTTTACACCCACAATTATCACTCTGATAGTTTTCAGTAAAACATCTACAGTCAGAGATGAAACCTCAAACCTGATGGTACACGACTGTTCCTGCTCTTTCTCTCCTCTCTCCCTCAATGAGGGAGTTTTCTCTCTCCATTCGCCAAAGTGCTTGCTCATTGTGGGTTTCTCTATATCTTTAAGGGCTCGACTCTCATGTAAGGTGCCTTGAGATAATGTATATTAGGATTTGGCGCTCTACAAATAAAATTGAATTGGATTGAATCACCCTCCTCAGCTCAGAGAGTTTCATTTAGTACTGGCCAAGTTCTGCGTCAATAAATGAACATAAATAAAGGCTGAACCTTATTTTTGTCCCTTTTAAAATGCAGGTAGAAATTTATATCACTTCATTCTTCTACCTGCTGGCCTACTAAGCTGGTCAAACATCAATGGTAAATGGTTAAATGGTTGTATTTATATAGCGCTTCTCTAGTCTTGAAGACCACTCAAAGTGCTTTACACTTTTTTATTGTTGTTCTATGAGGGGCAATTCGGGGTTCAGCATCTTGCCCAAGGACACTTCCGACCTTCTGGTTGGAGGACGACTGCTCTACCCCTCAGCCACAGCCACCCAGGCTGTGGCAATGTCTGCATCATATATATATATATATTCTGTGTATATTGCATTTGTTATCTGTTACAAGTATATATTACCTATATTAAATATGATCTGTTTATCACTGTCAGTTCCTATTTATTCTTGTGAAACTTTGTTTTTGTACTGAATAATCTGAACCAAAAAGCAAATATCTCTAATGTAATCAATAGATTTTACACTGTTTGTGCAGCACTTTGTGTTTTTCATTTGATCACTATTTAAAGTCACATCCCTGAGGACAAAAACAAGAGATAAGAACGTTTTCAAAAAGACAGCGTTCAGTGGTCTGCAAAGCCAAGATTGATTCAAAAATCCATAACACAGACAATTTCACGTTCTGATGGAAAAAACTGACAACAACACCGTGTAGGTTTACTCCTGACCAGCAGGGGGCAGACTGTAGGAAAGTGGCACAGAAGGGAGCAGGAGCGGATATAGGATTAATATCAACAACCTGGGTTTACAACAACTCAGGTGAAACTTCACAACACTTCACCCCGATATGATCCGTCACATTGTTGTGTTCAGTTGAAATGCCTTAATAACACCCGGCACATTATGGGGGAAGTGTGTATTTGCGCTTCGAGGAAGAGGTTTGTTTTTGTGCTGAAACTCGGTGGCTAGTTTAGCCTGGGGAGCTAAGTTAGCTAACTTTTTGGTAGTTGACGCGTGAGGTCATTTTGGCAGCCTCGGTGAGGAAACTGTCCACTGATGTGCTCAGATATCGCTCCTTGGTTAAGTCTCTCAATGCTGCGGGTGTTGCCAGATTGTGCGCTAGCTGCTGTTGACACTACCTGGTAGTTTTATGTGGCGCTGACAGAGCCTGGTCCGCTCTTCATGCTCCTGCAGCTGCTCCCACCTGTCAACTAGCTGGCTACCTCTCCTGCTGTCCGCCCGCCTGCCGTCGCCCAATGGCTCACTGCGGCTCCTCCGAGCCAAAGCCACAGGCACCGCCGCAGGGCAGCGTAGACCAGAGCATGAAGCCCGTGCTGTTCGAGATCTTCGGTGAGATATGGACCGTCCAGTCGCGCCTCGGCCAAGGAGTCTCGGCCTCGGTGTACCGGGTCAGCTCGGGCAGAGCCACCACCGCCGCTGTCAAGGAGTATCAGGTCGACACTCAGGGAGGAGATTACGGGTATCACAAGGAGAGATCCGTGCTGGAGGACATACAGGGCCACAAAAACATCGGTAACATCACGATTACATTTTCAAAATGTTCACCTGTATGTATGTGCCAGGTAGAGGATGTGCACAAACTACGTCATGTGGAACATTAACAGTAAAATAGGAAAATATTATTCTTCTAAATCTTTGTATAAAATAGAGCAAATACGAAATTCAACAAGAACATCTCAATGTAATGGTATACTAACGCTCACTGACCATTTATAATGCTTATGTAGAAAATCTGATTTCAGTTGCTTTCCAGGCTTTCAAATTCTCAGGTTATCATTCCATAAAACATGGTTAACAACAGTTATGTTTGTAAATCTAATGTAAAGGTTGTATTAGAACAGAGTAGACTGTATTTGAGTTGACAGTTCAACAGAGGTCCCCATTGATCAACATCATGGTGTCACTGCATTATCATTATCATTATTGTCATTGTTCTAGGCTAAACACTGCTGTCCTCTTGCTGTCTTGTCAACCTGATGTGAATGCACGGGTAGAGGCATTGCTGTTTGTAACCACGTATTCATTCTCTTTGCAGTGACACTGTACGGGGTTTTCACCAACAGCTGTATGGGTGTTTCAACCCGTTGTCTCCTGCTGGAGCTCTTGGATGTCAGTGTGTCTGAGCTGTTGGTGAGAGGCAGCAGTGGTACCCAAGGTGGTAGGTGAGTCATGGGAATTTTTTCTGATGTATGACCGTGGCAGTCTGCCAATTTGTTAGTCAAGCTCAACCATGTGCAGATTCCAGAAAGTGTTAAACACTGCACACAAGGCATGCTCTGCCTGACTAGAAACACACATGATCATTTGTATCACTGTTTCTAATCTTTGAAGGAACAAAAAGATTAATTAAACAACCAAACACTTATAACTTGTGATATAATCATTCAGGGAGTTTCTGATTTGTTTTATGTTTGTTTTAATGCAATGAATATTAATAAAATTTAGTTTGTGAATCTGAAAGCACAAACATTTACTTGTGACAGTGTAATCAAGCATTGATACATTGTTTCAGCTATGCTCAAAGCTTCATTCAAAAGAATGGACATTGCCATCTACTGGTAAAAATAAATGCAGTGCACCCTTTATACTTTACGTTACCTATGAACCCACACTAAACCTTCTGTGTTGCAAGATATCTCGTGGGAGAAAGTTTTCGCCTGTCATGCAGATGATCACTGATTCAATGTTCAGTGAACTGTGTGCTTTTAGTAAAACACTTGTTTCAATTATTTAATCCCAAGGGCAGCTTTCTTTGAGCAGTAGCACAGTGACACCTGTGAGTTATTAAAAAACCTGACTGAAAAATCTCAGCACTAGGTGTAAGTAGGTTAAAGTAATTCTTTGATTTAACAGACCCTTTAAATATCACCAGATTTTCAAAAATTCATCCCAGAATGTTACGTTGTTAGCTAAAGTAATTCAGGCTTATTCAAATTGTGGGCACATTATTCACTTGGCCATCAGAACTGTAAAAAGATATCATACACCTTGAATAAAAATGGTCTCAGAGCAATTGGAAAGATAATATAATGAATAATGCTGGATGGAGTCACTGTAAAGCTTTTATGTATTTAAGACAGCTTGAGCTTTCAGTGTGACTTCATAGTATGATATATATTCTGGACAGACCCCAGCAGGGCCACTCCATGTGGCTTGTCCAGCACTGTGCCAGAGACATCCTAGAGGCTCTCGCCTTCCTCCACAAGGAGGGCTACGTCCATGCCGATCTCAAGCCTCGCAACATCCTGTGGAATGCTGACGACGAGTGCTTCAAGCTCATCGACTTTGGCCTCAGCTTCAAAGAGGGAAACCAGGTATGTGTGCCTGAGAATTAGAAGTAGATTAAAAGAAGAGCTGGGATTACCCGAGTTCTGTTTTTCTAACCCTGACTCTTCCTAACCCCAGGATGTTAAGTACATCCAGACAGACGGGTATCGAGCTCCAGAGGCTGAGATTCAGAACAGCCTCGCTCAGGCTGGGGTTGAGTTGGAGGGAGACTCGGGCTGCACAGCCGCAGTGGACCTGTGGAGCCTGGGCATCATCCTGTTAGAGATGTTCTCAGGAATGAAACTCAAAGACACTGTCCGCTCGCAAGAATGGAAGGTATGACAAAGCTCAATTCAGGGAAGAGCGATGATGTTGATTTAGTCAATAATTCAAATGGATTAAATTATTAAAGGAAGAATATGTTAATATTTGGGGAAATTGAGTTCACCAAGATTATTTTTGAAGGCTTAAGAAAGTAAAGTAATAAATTATTTATGAGTAAAAGGACTTAAGTCTTCTGTAAGAGTTGCAGTGACCACTTCCCATATAGTAACAAAGTCACAATATAAAAGCACAAAATATGGAATTAAAACCAAATATAACAACAACAAAAACATTATACAATATATGTATATATGGGCTAATAGAGAAAATAAAGTTTAAAAGCTTTGGACATTTTCAGCAAGGAAATGTCCAATAATGCAGACACCTTTATGCAATACTAAAACAGTATTCTGCAATTGTTTTCCCTCGCCATTAGGATAACAGTGCTGCCATTGTTGACCATATCTTTGCCAGCAACAGTCTGGCATGCCCTGCCATCCCTGTCTATCACCTCAGAGACCTTATCAAAAGGTAAACCTCATATCTACTACACTATGAGCTGCACTGTATAATGACACAATCTCGCCTGCTGTGTAAGCAGAGAGCTGTAGTCTGGTCTGTGAAATGTCTCTTGTTATGTTGTGTCTGCAGCATGCTTCTCATTGACCCAAAGCAGAGATGCACAGCTGAAACTGCGCTCCTGAGCCCATTCTTCAGTATTCCCTTTGGTATGGGTCAATATTTATGATAAGCATCAAGATAAACATTTCCATCAGTGTGCCATGTTTACATGTGTGTGTGATGTCTGTGTGATGTGTGTGTGTCAGCTCCTCACATAGAGGACCTGGTCCTGCTGCCTTCTCCTGTTCTGCGTCTGCTCAACCTGATTGATGACAGTCATCTGCACAATGAAGATGAGTATGAAGGTACAGCATATCTTCAACTTGAATGAATTTGTAAATTTCCAAATGTATATCCATTTTGACTTTTCATTTAAATTTGTTGTTCCCAGACATCCTGGAGGACATGAAAGAGGAGTGCCAGAAATACGGCTCGGTGGTTTCTCTGCTCATCCCCAAGGAGAATCCAGGGAAAGGACAGGTAAGTCTGTTTAATCAGCCAGGATCTTCAGAAACAATTCAGTACAACTAAAAGGAACAGCTACAGGGGATTCTCAGTAACCTTCATTCACAGCGGTCTGATGATAGAAATCCATACTTGGTGCACATTGTTGTGCAAAAAAAGTGTTGTCCTTTACTCACCACCAGTATCCACTGGGTGCAACTGCAACCTTGCAGCTCTGTCATAGTGTCTGAAGATTCCTCATATAGTGGCCTACAAATAAATATTAATTCCTATTCCTTCATTTATTGACAGTGGATTTTAGATTGATATTTACTGATGCATTTAATTTGATACTCCTATAGTCTTAAATATACATGGAAGAACATTGTTTTTCTTGTAAGGAGGGAAGCCTTAACATTTTTTGTGTATCAACTGCAAAGTGATATAGATACAGGCCAGTATGTGGTAGTACAGTCATTAAATGTAAACTACAATGCAGCCACAAACAATCATCTCAATTTGCAACAAATATCTATTGAATAGGTTTTTATAATGAAAGAATATCTGCAAAACTGCCAAAATCAATATGAAATGTATCTGCTGAAGAACATCCAGCTTGAAACTGTCCTGTAATGTGCTACAGCACAGGGTTACATGCATTCATCAAGGTTTTTAATCCACTTTGTGTCCACCAGGTGTTTGTAGAGTACGCCAACTCCAGCGACTCCCAAGAGGCTCAGAGGTTGCTGACAGGCCGCACCTTCGATGGGAAATTTGTCGTGGCCACCTTCTACCCTCTCAGCGCTTATAAAAGAGGTTACTTGTATCAAACTGTGCAGTGAAGCCCCAAAGCTCAATTTACATCATTCAGAACCGCAGAGGTTACCACAAAAGAGAGAGAGAAGTAGTTTTCTCCCTGTTAAAAAATAAGACCTGTTATGAGTGGCCATCCTGCAGTTAAAATGCATTCAGTTAAAAAGGAGTGTAGTTTAAAGTTCTGCATGTAAGTCATGTGGTAAATCTGTGTAAATTGAACTCAGTTGTGAGCAGCAACACTCATCACATCTCTGCTGCCTCCAGTCTGGGCGCCACTCTTATCAGTACACATCCATCTGGTGCTTCAAAATGAGCTGCATCTGTCGAAACTAATGACTCTGGGGACAGACTACTAACTGTTCTCCCATCCATTTTCACACTTCATTCATAGAAATGACCAATGCTGAGAGAATGTGAATCTAAATAGTTGCACATCTCTAGATCCTTTAGAAATTCTAGTCAAATACTTTCAGGGATGAGATTAGGAACATGTAGCAGGATAACGCTGACCTCCTAGTAGTAATGAATGGGAACTTATGTCTGAAACCTAAAATCCTAATCCAAAAAAACATCCCAACTGAAGATGTCCTGCAGTGAAACTAGTGTCCTGTTTGAATTTATCTTATAGTTGCCTGTTAATATTTGTTATTCTGAACATAAATGAGAGGAAAGCGGTACAAGGGGCTGTACAGGAAGCTTTTGCTGTGGCTCCTCATGCAGTTTTCAGGTACAGATAGTAAAGAGTGAGCCCTCTATCAGCTGGTAGGTTTCACTCTCTCTGCTGGTATCCGAACAAGCCCGGTGCTCCGTGTGCCCTGACCTGTAGCCATAGGCTTTGTAGCTTTGTAGCTTTTGTTTATGTTAGTTACAAAAGCATCCATCTGTTCTGTTGTTCTTCTGGTTCCACTGAGTCCATTATGGTTTCAGTGGACCTGCAGTGCCCGGCAAGCAAACTGTCACACAGGGAAGCATCAGATGGTTTCTATACAAGTGCCCAATGACATTCACAAGCTAGCTAGCTAACTAACCAAAATGCCACTGCAACAACAGGTTGCTGCACCTGTATGTGTTGGTTGCTCATGTAGATGAAGCAGATGCCTTAGAAAATTGTTCCCTTCCAGCAGTCGAGATGCTGCTCGCAAACAAAACCAGATTGTTACAGACAATGATAATAATTCTTCCGAAAAGCTGCTCATTGCTCTTGTTAAAATGAGACTATAACACATAAGTGGAGATGAGTCATGCAGTCAGTAAACTGAATGTGTTTTTAGAGCCCTATTGACACTAGACAACGTTAGCTTTCATTATTCAAAATTAGCTACTTAACATTGGCTAACAGTATCTACTTTAGGTCTGCTAACATTAGTCAACATTTGCTACTTAACATAAGCCAACATTATGTACTTTTTGTCATTTAACACAAGTCAATATTTAATATGTTAAGTTCACTAAAATCCGTCCACATAATTCAATATTTAATCTGTAAGAGGAAGAATGGAAGTTGAATAGTCATGCTTTAAGGTCTGGTGTGTAGTGCAAGAAGTGCAACTGGTTCACTAATGTTGGAAAGTTCAAAGATCAAGCCCTGCCCCTTCTGAATGGGTAATTAATTGAGTATGTGAGAAAAACTATAATTCACACAAATGAAGAAAATGTCCGAAGCTTATGGACGTATAAATCTTCCTTCTGACACTTATTTATATTATTATTTTATATCACTCTTTCAGGTAAAGAAAAATATCTAAATTATGCAACAGAAAAATTAAAAACCTACAATCAGAAGAAAAGATGGAGATTTGTCTTTACAGAGTGACTCCGACAAACATATTTTTCTACAATCTTTTATTTTCTTTGTGCCTGAAATGTACTGCTGGCCTAGAAACTTGATTTAAGGCTCCAACCACGTCTGTAAAGCACTTGTAATTTAGCAGTCTGTGGTAAATAATCAAGATGGTCAGTGTGGCCCTCAATAATAATTTCGGACTAAAAACCAATGAACAAACGCTCATCCACGTTTTTTCATGATTTGTCCCATAGTCTGTCAAGGACGTGGAAAAGAAAACAAATCATTGATGATGTCAGGATTGTCTTTTAAGGCATTTGAAGTTTAATTTTGTCTTAGGATCTAAACTCGCCATAGTTCAACTGCACCTTATTGGATGAGAGAACTTTGTTTGTGTTCAATGATGCATGGCAAATCAGTGTGCACAGGTCATGGTCTAAACATAGTTTTGAGATACTGTGTGAGTGTGTGTTACTGAGTGTGTATTGTCTGAAAATGATGTTGCGCGGCTGCTGTGTAACCCGGCAGTTTTTCCTGACTGGAACCTCAGTCAATGTTATATTTTTATTATATTACAGGTCCGTAATATCTTTAGTACTTGGTGTAACTTTATTATTTGTTGTCATACGATACATCCCCCTCAAATTGACAAATTGCCTGTTGACAAATTGTGTGCATACGTAACACTAACATTTCATTGAAAATAACCAATCTGTATTCTCTTTTCTAGCGCAGGAGAATGATATGATGAGAATGAAAAAAGCTGATATCCTGCACACTATCAGCACTAAGTTTGTTTAACATTAACATTAAGTTTAACATTTATTTCTAACAAATGTATTGACTGTGCAAATTCAGCTTTTTATATCTCTATAAATACTACCAAATTACATATAAACCTCTTGGAGATTATCAGGAAATTAAGAGGAAATGACAAAATGACAGACGTGTAAAATGTTATGTCTGTTTGTGAAGTTTAGAGATACAGGGCCAGTTAGAGCACCATATTTTATGTTTTGGATCATTTTTGGGGCATTTTGCTTGAACAAATAAGTTGTTTACATTGAAGATCCTGACAGGAGACATGGGTAGAAGAGAATGTGCAACAAACCAAACAAATACAACTAAAATGCAATGTTGGGATGTTGCAGTTACATGGATCTTAACCACTTGCTCATGCCCTCTTCATTGAAAGTGTTGGGTTCATTTTGAAACAAGATGTCCGCATATTCACAAGAGCTGGCAAGACAATTTCTAATGAACAGCCACACATAGCACAACAAATTGTGGCATGGGCTTCCTTTGACAAAATGACAGCAAACCAGTCAACTGAAATGGTCTTTTCAGATGTTCCTATCCGTGGTCTTCCACACTTCACAGGCCTCGTCCCATCTCACTATGGCTTAGGGTTGTTTTCAATCCCTTTTGAGCATGATGTCACATGAGAGAGAAGCCACAACAGGTGATCAGAGAAAAGTAAAGACCGGAGGTTATGGTTTGTACTGTTTCTAGTTTACATAGACAAGGACAAAGCAGGTTCCTTAGTTGATGGCTGCACCTTAGTATTATTATATATTTGTTCTTACATTATTTTCCCTGCTGGTCTCAGTCTGGAGCCGCTCAGACTTGATTAAATCAGCTTTAGCCCTGCATGGAAGCATTGGCAGTCTGAGAGATACTGTGCTGCCACAGAGCTGTGAGCTTCTGCAGTGGAGTAATGAGTCTGGGAGCAGTGTTTAAATATTAGACTCAAATATTTAATCAGGCTGATCTGAATGATATGATACTAAGTTGTTTGCTGCATGCTGATCCTTTTTAATGTAGGAGATTGTTTTAGTTCCATCCTTAAAACATCTTATTACTAGTTAAGTACTGGGGTACACAAAAGCAGCAGT